CCCCTATAATTCTTTATTTTTAAGATTTTTAAAATTTATTTATTTTAAAGGCAGAGTTAGAGAGAGAGGAGAGATAGAGACCTTCCATCTGCTGGTTCACTCCCCAGATGGCCACAAGAGCCAGGGCTGGGCCAGGCTGAACCCAGGAGCCTGGAACTCCATGAAGGGGTCCCATGTGGGTGGCAGAGCCCAAGCACTTGGGCTATCTTCTGGTGCTTTCCCAGGAACATTAGTCGGGAGCTGGATCAAAAGTGGAGCAGATGGGGCTTGAACTGGCTCTCATATGGGATGTTGGTGTTGTAGGCAGTGGCTTAACCCGCTGCTCCACAATGGTGGGGCCTATAGTAAGTGCTTAACTGAAAAGGCAGGTGGGCATAGCTGAAAACAACCAGAGCATAGACACTCTGTGGTGTAGCACATGCTAAGACAGAGAGTACTAGTGACGCCCAGCCAAGGACCACATTTGGGCCCTGTTGGCTCAAGGTCGACCCACCTTTATGCATATCTTTCCTCTCAGGGAGGTTCTTGGAGATGTGGGTTTAAAACACCCCATTGCTTTCTTTCCTCAAGACCCAGCGCAAACTCAGGACTCAAGGGAGACATGTTGACCATGAGCTTTCCCACGCAGGGGGTGCTCTAAGGAACTCCCTCTAATCAGACCACACTGCCAATCAGCGCTGTGCTGAAAGGGCCTTTGTGTTGTTCGAAGACTCTGAATGCACTGGGGAGCCTGGCACGCACAGATGTCCCTGGGACAGTGATGGGAGCAGGGCGAGGGTGAGAAAAGAGCTGCAGAAGTTCAAAGACATCCCTTGCACCTTGGTTGCGCTCAGGCCCCTGGCTGTGTTTTCTTACCCTCGTCTTCCTAGGAGTCCCGGGCTCCCCTTTCCTCTTGGACAGCCTCGGTACTGACGTGCTGGCTCGTACGGAAAAGGGGACAGTGATGTGTGTGGGTAGGGGATGCGGAGGGGAGGTGGAGAGAAGCCTTCTTAGTGTACTTAACGAGATGTCCAAAAGCACTGAAGCTAGGGTCTGGCAGAGAGAGGCTTCTGCCTTCGCGTCTCAGGTCGAGCTGGGTTGGGCGGGGGTCACGGGAAAGCTCAGACCTTCCTCTCAACCTTGCATAAGTGGTGCGGACACGGAGAGATCCGTGCGGGATGTGAGCGACTGTGACAGGGCCGGGGCAGCACGCAGAGGCGCACGTGTTCATTATGTATGGCTGTGTCTCCAGGGGCACACGTTTCACTGTGCATTAGCGTCGAGCCGCCTCCTTCCTCCCTCTTCCTCTGCCCACTCTCTCCACCACCGTCCCTCTCAGCCCCCAACCCACTGCCCGCCTCTGCCTCGCTCACAGTCCAGCTCTGCCTGTCACCGTCTCCATCCTTCTCTGCCACGTCCCCAGCACCCTCTGAGCTTTGCTTCATCTCACGCTCTGCTGTCTGGGAGCCGCCTGTGTGCTGCTGTCTCTTACTCTCTCTGGCTCACTTTCTCCCATCCCACATGGCTTCCTCTGAAATACCAGCTTTTCAGGTACCCTGCAGCCAGCGATCACCTTTTCTTGATACGTGAAAGCCTATAGCAGCACTTGGTTTATTGATGGATTGGTTTTAGTTTAATTCTGTGGAGGAAAGAACAGGGTGCTTCTATGCAGAAAGCGTGAGAACTAGCAAAGGCAGGAACAGCCCGAGAGACGGGGGCGTACACAGAGGGGCATGAAGAGGTGGAGTCCTCGCCAGTGTATTTCCTTCCAAATAAACTAGGTCAGACCTTCATGGCCAATGACAGCTTACTCTGGGCTCTGAGGGGTTAAGCACCCAGTTGGGCTTGGCACCTCACTCAGAGGCAAAAGCTTCTGGGAGAAATGAGTTGGGTTAAATAGACCCAAGAAGCTGACGCGGTAGAATTTCTTCTGCCTGACCCGCTAACAACTGCGATGGGGACATTTTAGGAATTTTTATTATTATTATTGAAATGCTTCATGGGGCATAGCCCCTGGAAGCCAGAACCTGGCTCCCAGGCCAGACCTAGGCAGCCCTGCAGGATGTGGACAGTTGGCTGGCTCCGGGGAAGTGGAGGGGGTGTCCAGGGCCAGGCAGGCGGTGGCAGCAGCTGCTGAATCAGGGCAGTTCTGAGTGCTGTGTTTGCTCCCTGCTCCAGCCTGCCTGCTATAATTAAAGCCTTCCCCATATGATTCCGGCTTCCTGAAGGGAAACCAGAATTTATAAAAACAAACAAGAAGCAAACACAAAGCGGCGGAGATGGTTGGTTGCAATATACATAGATTTTTAAATTATAAAGCACTTAGCAGTGTCTTGAGATCATGGCTGCAGATCAGTTTCGAAGCCCCTGGTCTTGTGTAAGGAACGGGCTTCCCTTCCAACACTGAAAGACAAGAGCTAAACACACACAGCAACTCACAGGGGGTCGCGCGTTCTCCACTGACCCCATGACCCTCATCACTCCACATGAGGGAAGTGCTCCCCTGGGAATCCTCCCCCCCATCCTGGCCTCCCACCTTACTCCCTTGTCACCTCTGGCTTCCTTCGCTTAACAGAACACACAGAATCCGTGGACCAGAATAAATCAGTTGTTTTATTTCCCCTCAAAGGATGTGACCTTCCACTCCCCAAATGGCTTTGACAGTTTTCTCATTTGCTAGCTGACGAGGATGTCGGGAGACACTGACCTTCTGGTTTTGCCTAAAGAGGGAACACTCGGTAACTATTATGCTTCAGTCTCTGATTTGCTTTCCTGGTGCCCTCCCTCCCTCCTCCCCTCTGCCCGTGTCCTCCCGCACCTCCCCACCTTCCTTCCTGAACATTCTACGCACCCACTGCCCTCCCTCGTCTGGTGTGGAGATGCCATAGGGCACAGCTGCCTGCAACCCCACAGTGTTCCCTACAGGCAAGAGGCAGCAAGGGGCCCCCAGGAGCCTTTGCTCCCCACTTTCCGTGATCGGGCCCATCACTGACCCCAAGGAGTCGAGGAGTCGGATTTCAGTTTTCTGAGCTCTCTGTGGAGGGAGGAGAAATTGTCAGACATCACTTAAACAGCCCTGTCCCTTGCATGCCCCGGGAACTGCCGAGAGAAATTAATCTTCCAGCTGCTGAAGGCAGTTTCTTTTCCATCATCCCTTGACAAGAGGACTGTGCTGGAAAATGAATCCGAAGGGGGTCCCTGAACTGGTACACTCCACTCCACAGCATCTCTCCAGCGCGAGGTGCAGGCGGTCACGTGGCTGCAAAGCCAGCTCCCCACCCGTACCCCGCAGTGAGAAATCACACACAAGGCAGACATCACTGGCCCAGCCATGGTTCCTCACCTTGGCAGAACACCTGCCACCCATCGACTGCTTCCATTTAATGAAGTCTGTTGTGAAGCCCCAGCAAGGCAGAGATGGGAAGAAGCCAGAACACCAGGACACAGGGACCAGGGGCTGAGCTGTCTCTCCTGAACGCCAGGAGCCCGCAGGGGCAGTGGAGCTGTTTGGGTTGAAGTCAGACCCCTGCCAGGGCAAGGTGTGAGACAGAAACAGGGCAAGAGGTTGCAAGTTTCAAGATCCTCTCTCCTCTCCTCTCCAGACTGCATTTCCTGTTGATGGAATGAAGCCAGGGAGTCTCGCACACTTGGAGACAGGCAAGGGAATTCCAACCCTCAACTCTTCTACACTCTAGGCCATTCCCCAAGGCAGTGGTTTGCAAATTGTGTTCCTTGGGGTCCCAACAGGTGCCAGGGAGAGAGAATGGGGGGAGAGGACAAAGGCGCATGTGCCCACCCTCAACTCTTACTTCAACCTCAGATTTTCTCTTTCAGGTGTTGGGATTTCTCCTACAAATTCACATTTAAAAAAATATTCTAATTGTTAAGAAGCTCCACGCACTGAGTGTCCTGAGAGGAAAGGGACATGCCCACCCACATGCTGACCACTGGCCCACGGTGCACAAGGAAGACAGAGCACAGCCCCTGCCTGCTTCAGCGTGGAGTGGGTGTGGGTGCAGCCGGCAGCTCCCGGACGCCAGGAGCTCCTGAGACACTTTTTCAGCAAAATGGATCTCCATAAGCACAGAAGTCATTTGTTTTCCAAACTCCCTTCTCCGGTCTCACTAATTCCCAATTTCCCTGCATTTGACAAATGCAATTAACAAGCCTCGATCAGTTCCTGGCCGACAGCCCTCATCAATCAATACACAAACTGCACAAGGCTGAGGGGGCAGGGCGGCAGCTGCAGCTCAGCCGAGGCCTTCGCCCTGCCTTTCTGCCCTGCCTAACCTCTTGGTCTCGGCCGCTTCCTTCTGGCCAACTGGGCTGCTTGTGTCCTCTTGCACTTTTCAAAGGTTTCTTTCTCCCACCAACCTCCTCTCATCCGCCCCTCCCCCCCAACATGTCTTTTAACAGAAGGCCTTGCCATCTGCTGCCACCATAGCTTGGGAACCCCTCGATGCTGAGTGTGATAAATCAGCCATCTCTGTTCTCAGCGAGGCCTCTTCCCTACCCACACATTTCACTATTTTGTGCGGCTTCCCGCCCAGGAAGCTAGAAGCCCCCCATCACCCTCTCCGCAACCCCTCCCCACTGAAGAGCCTCAGGGACAAGGATCGCCACTCCTGTGGCCACTGCTGCTTCACATGGCTGAGCCTTCCTGGCCCACTTGGTTGCTGATGCAAGCTTCACCCTCCTCACCCTTCTGCTGTGATGTCACACCAGCCTCCCCTCCCCCAGCACAGGGAAGCGCTGCTCCCTCGCAGCCCTGTGCGTCTTTCCACCTCATCAACTTCTCATCTCTTTGCAAACAGGATCGGAAGTCTCTCCCTCCGCCCGCTCTCCCCTTCTCCTTTGTTATTAGCTTCATGAGTGGGGACGTTAATGTATTCGCTAGGCAATGCCTTCACACCACTGTTTCCTGTAATTACAGTCACCTCCCTCCCACTGTCCTGGCTGATTTCACTGTAAAGTGCTTGCAGGAGGGACAGTGTGGACAAAAGACGCAAGACAGGCTGAGGTCGAGTAGTGGGTAGTGTAATGTTAACATCCGAGAAAATAAACAAATTGTCACACTCTGCAGCAGCTCACTAACACCTGGTAACATACAGAGGTCAGTGTTCCAGAACTTTCAAAAAGCATCGATAAAATTCTGGACCCCTCCACTATAGGAAGTGGTGCTGTATCCTTATCACCAGTGACAGTCACCCCAAGAAATGCAAGTAGCCGTCTGTCTGCACCCTTTCAGGGGGTGGATCCACTATACTTGTCGTGCAGATCAGCTACATTGTCACTGGAGACCCGGATCCAGCCATCCTCCCGCACGTGGTAGAGGTTGACAGCGCCTCCTGAGTAGGCATCTCTGTAGGTGGCTTGGTAGATGGCGCGGCGGGCCAGATCATAGGCCTGCTCCACTTCTAGGTCGTAAGAATAGCCTCGATCCATGACGCCATAAGCATACACAGAGCCCGAACCTACAGAGAAGGTGGCTCCAGAGATTCGGTTCCCTTCACTGTCCACGTAGTAGAGGCCTGGAAAGAGAGATGAGGTCAGCAAGAAAACCAAGCACCAGCCCTTTCACATCGAATCCAACGTCCAAGGCAGTCATTCTCCAACCTACTTGAAACTTAGGGGAAACCAACATGAATACAAGAAAACAGGACTTCTAGAAAATCACTTAAAGAAAAAACACCGGCCCCCTCAACCCAGCCAATGGAATCAAATTTGAGATTAAGACTCTGGGATTCTACAACATGTCACCTCACCTGACTTTGGCTACCCTGCCTATCCCCTCAGCACACTCAAGAAGTAACCATAACCCAGACGGCTTTGGATTCAAGTGCAGGATTTCAGGCACTAAGGGAGGCAGTGCTCGAAACGGCTCTCCAAGTGCTAAACCACAGCGGAGACAAGCTGTCCGTCCCACCGCAGGAGAGCAAAGGCCCACACTGGCCAGTATGGTGCCACCAGCCATGTGTAGCTACTGAGCATGCGAAATAAAAGCGAGTACTGCTGGGCTGGCGCTGTGGTGCAGTGAGTTAACGCCATGCCTGAAGTGCTGGCATCCCATATGGGCGATGGTTCTAGTCCCGGCTGCTCCTCTTCCAATCCAGCTCTCTGCTAAGTCCAGGGAAAGCAGTAGAAGATGGCCCAAATACTTGGGCCCCTGCACCCACGTTGGAGACCTGGAGGAAGCTCCTGGCTCCTTACTTCGGATCGGCACAGCTCCGGCCATTGCAGCCATCTGAGGAGTGAACCATCAGACGGAAGACCTCTCTCTCTCTGCCTCTCCTTTCTCTGTGTAACTCTGACTTTCAAATAAATAAATTAATCTTTAAAAAAAAATGTTATAGTGAAAGGAGCAAGAAACCTTTAAAAAAAAAGTGAGTACTGCATGCTGACCTACTTTGGATATACTGGGTTAAATAATTTCTTTTTCAATTCTTAAAATGTGACTACTATGAAATTTAAAATTATATATATAGCTCACACTGTATTTCTTTTGCTGGCAAAGAGCAGGAATTGGCCAGGTCAATTTTACCTAATTTTTTTTTTCTAATAACGTTTTATTAGAACACAGCTACATCCATTTGTTTATACAGTAATACTGTCTCTGGCTACTTCTTTTTTTTTTTTTTTTTTTTTTTTTTGACAGGCAGAGTGGACAGTGAGAGAGAGACAGAGAGAGAAAGGTCTTCCTTTTGCCGTTGGTTCACCCTCCAATGGCCGCCGCTGCAGCCGGCGCACCGGTGAATCCTGGAGGAGCCAGGAGCCAGGTGCTTTTCCTGGTCTCCCATGGGGTGCAGGGCCCAAGCACCTGGGCCATCCTCCACTGCACTCCCTGGCCATAGCAGAGAGCTGGCCTGGAAGAGGGGCGACCGGGACAGAATCCGGCGCCCCAACCGGGACTAGAACCCGGTGTGCCGGCGCCGCAAGGTGGAGGATTAGCCTATTGAGCCACGGCGCCGGCCCTCTGGCTACTTCTGTGCCACACCAGCAAAGTTAGGTAGTAAGACAAGATCACAGCCGGCGCCGCGGCTCACTAGGCTAATCCTCCACCTAGCGGCGCCGGCACACCGGGTTCTAGTCCCGGTCGGGGCGCCGGATTCTGTCCCGGTTGCCCCTCTTCCAGGCCAGCTCTCTGCTGTGGCCAGGCAAGTGCAGTGGAGGATGGCTCAAGTGTTTGGGCCCTGCACCCCATGGGAGACCAGGAGAAGCACCTGGCTCCTGCCTTTGGATCAGCACGGTGCGCCGGCTGCAGCATGCCAGCCGTAGCGGCCACTGGAGGGTGAACCAACGGCAAAGGAACACCTTTCTCTCTGTCTCTCTCTCTGTCCACTCTGCCTGTCAGAAAAAAAAAAAAAAAAAAAAAAAGACAAGATCATATGGTCAGCACGCCTAATATGCTTACTAATTGGCTGTTGATTTCTGATACAGATGAGTATTTAGACAAAGATCTTAATAAAAACACCAATCCCAGGGGCCTCCATGGCGGCACAGCAGGTTAAGCGGTCAGCATTCCACACGAGTACCATTCGAGTCCCTGCTGCTCCACTTCCAACCCAGCTCCCTGCTAATGTGCCTGGGAAAGCAGCAGATGATGTCTCAAGTTCTTGGATCACTGCCACATATGTGGCAGACCTGGATTGAGTTCCTGGCTCCTTGCTTCAGCCTGGCCGTGGCAGGAACGAACCAGCAGACGTAACATCTCCTTCTCCCCCACCTATCACTTTGCCTTTCTTTCCTTCTTTCTTTTTTTAAGATTTATTTATTTATTTGAATGTCAGAAATACAGAGAAAGAGAGAAATCTTCTATCTGCTGGTCCACTTCCCTAAAGGCCACAACTGGAGCTTGGCCAGGCCAAAGCCGGGAGCCAAGAGCTTCTTCCAGATCTCCCATGCAGGTGCAGGGACACAAGCACTTGAGCCATTCTCTGCTGCTTTTCCAGGAGCACTAGCAGGAAGCTGGGATCAGAAGCGGAGCAGCCAGGACTTGAACTGGCACCCATATGGGATGCTGGCGATGCAGGCAGAGGCTTAATCTTCCACACCACAGTACTGGCACCATCTGCCTTCCAAATAAATAAATAAATCTTAAAAAAAAAAAAAAAAAAAAAGCTGCTGCCAGATCCAACCACCCTTCCAATCGATGTTATGGGTCACCAGGTTCAGATTCAAACTTTCTAACATACATTCAGCAATTCTCCATTACCTTCCAAGCACCACCCACCACACTTTGTCCTGTCTTGTAAAATTTTGTCAGCGGCACCCATAATCTTTTTCCTATTTCAGTGTTCTGAGCTCTCACTGTGCATCAAATCATCCAAGGAAGATTTTTTTGAGAGATGCCTAGGACTCAGCCTGGGTCTTTTTTAATTAGTGAGGGGTAGGAAATAAGACAGAGCTAGACTTTCAGGTCTCCAGTGATTCTGCCGCGCGCCAGGTTGAGCGCCACTGCCTCATCAGCTCTCAGCTTCAGACCACTCTCCAGCTGCCCCAGTCCTTCCTCTCCCCTCTCCAGGCCCGGTGCTGGGACACTGCCTTGTGGTTCACCATCTGGTTCCTAATAACCTTTCTAATTTCATGGCTTTCTATTCCTCAGCACAGCTCTTGGCGCCAACGAAACTGGTTCCCCAGTCATTCCCCCAAAACCTCATGCTTCTTCGCTCTTTTCCTCATTTTCATACCCAAGACAATCACTACCTATCCATGAAGCCTTCCCCCACCTCTCCCATCAAAATGAATCTCCTCCTCCAAACTCCTTCAGCCTCCCACTGGTTCTTCTAAAAACAGTATTTGTGGGGCCAGTGTTGTGGTGCAATGGGTTAAGCTGCAGCTTGGGACACCAGTGTTCCCTCCTGGAGTGCTAGTCCCAGACCCAGCGACTCCACTTCCTAGCCAGCTTCCTGCTTCTGTGCACCCTGGGAGGCAGCAGGCGATGGCTCAAGCCCTCCAATTCCTGTGAGAGACTCAGGCAGAGTTCCTGGCTCCTGGTTTCAGCCTAGTCCAGCCCCAGTTACAGAGAACATTTGGGGAGTGAACCAGTGGATGGAAGAGCTTTCTCTCTCCCTTTCTGTCACTCTTTCAAATAAATAAATAAATCTTTTTAAAAATGGTACTCTCATTTATCTTAATCAGCCTGGGATTAGGTCATCTGTGACTCATAGTTTGTTTCTTGAGGCAAAGAGCCGACTCACACTGAATGGGGTGGGCAGTCAGGAAGGCTTCTTGGAGGAAGCTGCAATTCAGGTCATGCTCTAGCTTCCTGGACCTTCCTTGCCAGCCAATACCTGCATTCTTACACTTTTTCAGTCACCTGGATCAAACCCAATGGCTAAGAGTTCAAAGCAATATTACTCAAATGCTTCCCTGCACCATGCAAAACATATAGAACAGGTTTTTTAAAAATTTATTTATTTGAAAGTCAGAGTTAGAGAAAAACATGGGTGGCAGGGGCCCAAACACTTAACATACTCTGCTGCTTTTCCCAGGCCATCAGCAGGAAGCTGGATCACAAATGGAACAGCCTGGACTTGAACCAGTGCAGACAAGGGATGCTGGCATTGCAGGAGGCAGCTTTACCTGCTATGCCACGACACTGGACCCTGGAACTATTCTTTTATCTTTCAAAGAAAAAGTACCTCTACTTCCTAGAAATGGATGCCTGGAGCACTGATTAAGTCACCTTGAGATGCCTGCATCCCACATCACAGTGCCTAGGTTTGAATCCTGGCTCCACTTCCAACCCAGCTTCCTGCTCACACATCCTGGGAGGCAGCGAGTGATGGCTCAAGTGGACAGCTCCTTGGTGCCCAACTGGAGAAAACTGTGGGCATCCAGGGAATGAGCCAGCAGATGAAACATCTGTTTCTCTGCTTTTCCAATAAAATTATAAAATAAATTAAAAATGCTAAGTATCTCAACTTCCAAATTAACAAACTGAGATCCTCTCTCACATCTACTTTTTGATCTCCTCACCCATCCCCTATTGGGCAGTAAATGGGTCCTCTCTATTCCTTTTTTTTTAAGAAAGCTTTTATTTAATAAATACAAATTTCATAGGTACAGCTTTAAGAATATAGCAGTTCGGGCGTGCTGCGGCTCACTTGGCTAATCCTCCGCCTGCGGCGCCGGCACTCTGCGTTCTAGTCCCGGTTGGGGTGCCGGATTCTGTCCCAATTGCTCCTCTTCCAGTCCAGCTCTCTGCTGTGGCCCGAGAATGCAGTGAAGAATGGCCCAAGTGCTTGGGCCCTGCACCCGCATGGGAGACCAGGAGGAAGCACCTGGCTCCTGGCTTTGGTTCGGCACAGATCGCCAGCCATGGTGGCCATTTTGGGGGTGAACCAACGGTAGGAAGACCTTTCTCTCTCTCTCTAACTCTGCCTGTCCAAAATAATAATAATAATAATAATAATAATAATAATATAGCAGTTCTCCCCCTACCCCCATATCCCTTTCTAGCCTCACTCCAAAGCAAGCTAAAAAGTGGGAAGTATCCTAGAGTTAAGGATCACTAGGCATTTAGTAAGCAAATACGTGAATGAAATAAAGACAGTAGGAGGAAAGAATAATGATTTTCAAACAGGCAGCAAGGAGAATTACATAGAAAGTCATTGGCTTTACTCCAGATTTACTAGGGACAACTTGAACTTGGCTGAGGGCAGCAATTTGGTGCAGGGGTTAAATCACCATTTGGAATGCACGCATCCCCCCAGATGCCCACAACAGCTGGGACAAGACTGGGCCAGGCCGAGGTCAGGAGTCTAGAACTCACTTCTCATCTCCCGTGCAGGTGGACACACTGGAGCCATCCCACTGCCTCCCAGGATGACATTAGCAGGAAGTTAGAACCAGACTCAGCGTCAGGACTTGAACCTAGGTTCTCCAATTCGGGGTGTGGCTTCTCAAGCAGCATCTTTTTTTTTTTTAAGATTATTTATTTGAAAGTCAGAGTTACAGAGAGAGGAGAGGCAGAGAGAGAGAGAGAGAGAAAGAGAGAGAGGTCTTCCATCCGCTGGTTCACTCCCCAATCGGCTGCAAAGGCCGGAGCTGTGCCAATCCAAAGCCAAGAACCAGGAGCTTCTTCTGGATCTCCCACACTAATGCATGATCCCAAGGACTTGGGCCATCTTCTACTGCTTTCCCAGGCCATAGCAGAGAGCTGGATGAGAAGTGGAGCAGCCAGGACTCAAACTGGTGCCCATATGGGATGCTGGCACTTCAGGCCAGGGTGTTAACCCGCTGTGCCACAGTGCCGGCCCCTCAAGCAGCATCTTAACTGCTGGGCCAAATGCCTGCCCCTCAAATACAACTCTTTCTAGTTCTTAGAATTATATGGGACAGAAAAAAAAAAAAATCACGTGCCAGATGTGGCACTGGTTGCTTTACACGTATCACCATTCAAGCAATCTAGCAGGTGGAAAAGCTGAGGCTGTGAAAATAAGCAATCTGCCAAAGGTCACACAGGCGGGTGGTGACCCAGGTGGTCTAACACCGTGCTGTCTCCTACACCACAGTGCCTACTCTGAACAAGACGACGACCAGGGGCTGCTGCTGTGGCTGAAGGAAGCTTCTGGCTCCTGGCTTCAGATGGATGCAGCTCTGGTCGTTGCATTGGGGAGTGAACCAGCGGATGAAGACCCCTCTCTCCCTCTGCCTCTCCTCTTTCTATGTAACTCTGACTTTCAAATAAATAAATAAATAAATCTTTTATTTAAAAAAAAAAAAAAGAAGAAGACGACAACTAAAGAACACACTCAACACCTCCTCAGCGCCCACACAAAGTCTCTCACTCACCCATCCGTTCAACACTGCAACTTCACTCACCCGGGCCCCGCTTATCCCAGCCGCAGATCATGGTGCCCATGGACAGCCCCATGCCTTTGTACTGGTAGACCATGTTGGCCAGCAGCTTGGAGGCAGCTGCCACTGAGATGCGCTCCTTGTTACGAAGCTCATAGATCCGACACTGCCGGGCCAGCAGGCGCTCCCAGAAGCTGCAGTCTGCTGCGCCCCCAGCCATGGTGCCCAGCAGGTAGGGGTTGATCTCTATGACTTTCTTTACCGTCTGCGAGGCGATATATGCACCTGCTGTAGCCCGGGAGTCAGCCGCAACGATGACGCCATGGCGAAACTGTTGAGAGCAGAGGAACACATTAAACAGGCCACGGCAGACCACAAAAACGTCTGCCCCCCGCCCCCGGGATTTCTTTTAGTATCAAACCCAGCACAGATCTTTCTCTGTCCTTTCACATTTCACAACACACATGTCTTGAGCTTCCCATCAATCTTCAGACATGGGCAATCACCAGTGTCAGCCTCGCATGATAGATGCCCGGGCAGGATTAATGAGATCCAATCCCTTTGCCCCGGATCTAGAGCTTATTATTGCAGAGCTGGGCCCGGAACCCCAAGTGGCTGGCTCCTAGCACAGTGCTCCCTCCACTTCCCCAAGCTTCCCCCTCACGCCACAGAGGGAGACTGGGTACTCCTGCCCCCCGGGGCCGCCCAGCTTCCCAAACCCTAAGTGAATGATAACAGCAGGCTTCGGGCTCTTCTTTCCCAGCAAGGAGCTCCCGGACAGGAGCAACCGGGGTCGCCTAGGACTCAGGCCCAGTTAGTTGTCTTGGGTTGCTTTCCCCGACTTCCCCCACCAGCCCCGCCGCAGCGAGGGCCGAGGCCTCCCAGGGCAATGAGACAGCGAAACCGCCCGCGCGGGACCAGCGGACCGAGCCTCCGCCTGAGCCTGGTGGCTGGGGCTACAGCCACGGCGGGCTCCTGCCCGGTAACGCGGCCGGGAAGGGCGCGAGTGCTCGGCAGTCAGCCCGGTCAGGCGGCTGGGGTCGCACCTTGAAGGCCAGGGTGGTGGTTCCATGAAGCATTTCGATTCCCGGCTCCTCTGGGACGCCCCAGCCGGGCGCGGTCAGGCTCAGCCCATCACTGGGACTCCCTGGACCCAAATCCAGCAGATCCGTACGACCCCCGAGTCCGAAAAACCCGCGCTGGTTCACAGGTAACGGCGTCTCCAACACGCTGGCCAGCGCCATGTCTACTAAGGGCAAAAGGAACTAACCCCCGAGTACTTTTAACCAAGAGCGGCCGGGCAACGCCTCGCCGTCACAGCTTCACTTCCTAGGAAACCTGTTCCGGGAAGGAGCCATTTTGACTCCTGGCAACCACGCCTCCGCAAACAATAACTGAACACAAGGCACCATGTTCACCGAGGGAAACAAGTCCTAAATGGCTTCACTACCCTTAAATTCTAAAAGGATGTGACTGCCATCTTGACTTTGGTCACGCAAGCAGTCCTGGATCAGACGCACCTCATAGGAAGAAATTGGAAACGTCCTTGTTGCGTGAGGGAAGTGAGGTCGGCCATCTTTGAAAAGGGCGTGACTGGTTGAAATCGGTTCTGAACACTTCGCGCGAGATCTTCCCGGCCCAGGAGGTATCCAAGCAACCCTTACTTCCCTGCTGCTTCCAGCGCCTGGCTAACGCGGCTGAGGTGGCCGTGTTCTTTAAGGGCTCTTTAATACGGAGTAAAATAACGGTCTGCTCTGAAGCGGTTTCCCGATGATACTACTTGAACCGTAGTGGTTTGTGATGAAAAGCACGACATACGCGCCGTACCTCCTGTTAGCGTGTGTGCCACACCACAGCTGTTCTTCAGTAACCAATTTTTCAGGTTCAGTATTCTCTACTCTCAGCTACTTCTGGAAATTCTAACAAGTAATAAATTGCCTAAAAGGAAGATAGAAAAGTTTTTGAAAAAGAGAAACAAGGGGCCGAGGTAATTCACAAAGCAGACCCGCAATTCAGCGCCCAAGTAAGTTGAGGCAGTAGGAACTCGGTCTCAGGGCCGGGAGGGGAGTTAAGGCACCATGAAGATGTGCCCAGAGATTCTTGAACTCCAGCTAGCGTAGACGACGCTCTTTATTCAGAAATGTGCTGTATTTCATTGCCTCTCCTCCACCCACCTTCATTTTTCAGCTCTTGTGGGAACTGTAACAAGTCAGCAAGTGGGCATACATGGGAAATGTTGCCTCTTGCTTTATGGTTCTATGAAGGCAGTGTCTGGCCTTCCTTGTGGGATTCTAGCAGCGACATCAATCAATATCTAAATTCCACTTTCCTCGGCCGGCCCCACCACCCCATGTGGGTGGTGGATTTTTTAATGTTGAAATTTGGCAACCCATTCCAGGTCCAACTATCAGGATGCTAAGGATGCAAGAGATCTTTATCTGTGTCTCAGACTTGGATGGTGTAGAAATGCGAAGTGCCTCTGTTTTGTTGAGCTCATGTTGTTTTGCAGTCACCCCTGCAATGCCACTAGTCCATCTTCCTTCTGACTTAGTAAGTTTTGCTCTATCATTAATCACATTTGTTCCTCTTAGGGCACTTTTTATTTTATTTTATTTTTTTTGACAGGCAGAGTTAGACAGTGAGAGAGACAGAGAGAAAGGTCTTTCTTCCGTTGGCTCACCCCCCAAATGGCCGCTACGGCCAGCACTGCACTGATCCGAAGCCAGGAGCCAGGTACTTCCTCCTGGTCTCCCATGGGGGCAGGGCCCAAGCACTTGGGCCGTTCTCCACTACACTCCCGGGCCACAGCAGAGAGCAGGACTGGAAGAGGAGCGACCAAGACAGAATCCGGAGCCCCAACCGGGACTAGAACCCAGGGTACCGGCGCTGCAGGCAGAGGATTAGCCTAGTGAGCCGTGGGGCCGGCCACTTAGGGCACTTTAAAAAAAAAAAAAAAAGATTTTTATGTATTTATTTGAAAGGCAGAGTTACACAGAGGGAGTGAGAAAATTTCTTTTTTAAAAAATATTTATTTATTTATTTGAAAGAATAACACAGAGAAAGAAGGAGAGGCAGAGAGAGAGAGAGAGAGAGAGAGAGGTCGTCCATCCCCTGGTTCACTCTCCAATTGGCCGCATCGGCCGGAGCTGCACAAACCCGAAGCCAGGAGCCAGGAGCTTCTTCCAGGTCTCCCATGTGGGCCATCTTCTACTGCTTTCCCAGGCCATAGGAGAGAGCTGGATCAGAAGTGGAGCAGCCGGGACTAGGACCGGCACCCATATGGGATGCCAGCACTGCAGGCGGTAGCTTTACCCTCTACGCTACAGTGCCTAACCCCAGAGATATTTTCCACCAACTGGTTCATTCCGACTCCTGCTGGGGCTGGGCCAAGCAGAACTCAGGAGCCTGGAACTCCATCTGGGACTCCCACATGGGTGGCAGGGGTCGAACCATTTGAGCCATCCTTTGCTGCTTTCCCAGGCACATTAGCAGGGAGCTGGATGTGAAGTGGAGCAGCCAGGACTCTTATCTGGTGCCCACATGGGATGCTGGCATCTCAGGTGGCTACCCAACTGCTACACCACAACGCTGGTTTCTCTCAAGGCCCTTTCACAATTTAGCTGGTTTGATGTGTACATTTGTCTTTTACAGGTTGTGAGTTTTAAAGCCAGCTATTTCTGTGCTCATAGTGTTATACATGTTTGCTGAGTGAACACATGATAGAATGACAACAGTGGTCTTCCCGTCACAGAGGCCTGAAGCCTGGCTCATCTTTGCCAACTCCTCTGCCTGTCCTCCGTATCCAGTGAGTTACCAGGTCCTCCTGGTTCTCCCTCTACAATATTTCTCATTCTTTTTCATTGCAACTGATACCATCTTTGACTTCTTATTTCCTCAGCCCTACATTACTGAAATATTCTCCTAACAGATTCTCTGGGCTCTAATTCATTCTGCACAGCATCAGATTGGTTTCCTGAAAGCCCCATCTTGATATCATCCTTCAACCTGCTTAAAAATGTTCTGTAAAGTTCAAGCCCCTTGGCATGACATTCAAGGCCTTCCATCTAGAATCTGCACCTGACCCCCCTTCTGTTTATCCTCTGCTCTAGGACCCTCAGGAGACCTCACGAAGGGGAAGGAAAGATGATAGTGCTGTGGCTCAGACGTGAGGAGGAGGTGAGTGTAAATTGGAGTGAGGCAGCGGGTCCAGGATGACTTTGTCAGGGAGGTGTGAATTCATTCCCCTAACTACTACTTGGGTCCCATTGCTCTTCAGAACCACGCTTCTCCTCTTCAGCCCATTCCTGGGAAGAAGTTTCAGAATAGGTGGTCCTTAAGGCAGGCTTTGAGGGATAAGATTCAGGTGGGTAAAGGGGAGATGAGATGTATTAGGAAGACACCAAAGAAAGGTTATGATGGATAGATTTGGGTTGGACCATAATAAGCTCCAAATGCCAGACTAGGGTGGAAGACGTGGTTCAGATGTTATCTTGTTTCTTAGCAAGGAGACATGGGATTTGAGCAATGCCTTAGGAAAACATGTCCTTGTGAAGATTAAAATTAGGCCAGCGCCGCGGCTCAATAGGCTAATCTTCCACCTGCAGCGCTGGCACACTGGGTTCTAGTCCTGGTCGGGGCGCCAGATTCTGTCCCAGTTGCCCCTCTTCCAGGCCAGCTCTCTGCTGTGGCCAGGGAGTGCAGTGGAGGATGGCCCAAGTGCTTGGGCCCTGCACCCCATGGGAGACCAGGAAAAGCACCTGGCTCCTGGCTCCTGCCATCGGATCAGCGCAGTGCGCCGGCTGTGGCGGCCATTGGAGGGTGAACCAACGGCAAAGGAAGACCTTTCTCTCTGTCTCTCTCTCTCACTGTCCACTCTGCCTGTCAAAAAAAAAAAAAAAAAAAAAAAGATTAAAATTAGAGTGAGTGGAGGGGCAGGCACTTGGCACGGCAGTTAAGACAGCCACATCTAGTAGCTGAGTGCCTGGGTCAAGTCCTGGCTCCACTTCTAACTCCAACTTCCTGCTGGTGTGCATCCAGGCAGGCGGAAGGTAATGGCTCAAGTGCTTGGGTTCCTGCCAGCCACATGGGAGACCTGAACTGAGTCCCTGGCTCCCAGTTTCAACCTGACCCAGTCTTGGTTGTTGCAGGCGTTTAGAGTGAGCCACTGAGTGGAAGTTAGTGCTCTCTCTCTCTCTCTCTCCCCCTTTCCCTGTCTCTTTGCCTTGAAAAACAAAAATATTAGTATGGAGGCTGAAGGTTGGTCAGTGAGGAGGCCATTAAACTGTCCAGAATTGACTTGATAGTGGCCTGACCTAGGGATGTGGCTATCTATCCATCTATGAAGAGTCTAAGACTTAGTCCTTATTAATTTATTCATTTATATACTTTTTAAAAATTTATTTATTTGAAAGGCAGAGTTACAGAGAAAGAGGGAGATACAGAAGGAGAGATCTTGCATCTGCTGGTTCATTCCACAAATGGCTGCAACTACTGGAACTGAGCCAATAGGAAGACAGGAGCCTCTTCCAGGTCTCCCACATGGGTACAGGGGCCCAAGGACTTGGGCCATCTTCCACTGCTTTCCCAGGCCACAGCAGAGAGCTGCATTGGAAGAGGAGCAGCTGGGACATGAACTGGCGCCCGTATGGGATGCTGGCACTGCAGGCAGAGGCTTAGCCTACTATACCATGGCCCCAATAAATATCTTTAAAAAACAAACAAGCTGTGAGCTTGTTTCAGAGTTCACCTCTGAAACGAGTCCTCAAGGTCAAGGTCTCCAGCACCATGTTCCGACCACATCAGAGCACCGACTCTTTGTCTCCTCCTGGGCTGGGGTGCTCTCAGGCCAGGGGCGGGGCTCACCCTGCTCTGCTCCTTCCTCTCCTGGCCACTTTCCTTTGCAGTTACCCCAGTCCTCCACCCTGCTCCGGGAAGTTGGAGGATGACAGACAGGAGACTCCTCGGGGGACTCTCAGATGTGTCACGGGTGGCAGTTGGTGAAGGTCTGACTGATGGGGCAGCGTCTTCCCTGCCCGGGAGACACCAGTGGCTTCATCCCTCCCCCTCAGCAGGCCTCTGTGCAGCAGGGGCTGCTCCTTGCACCAAGCCCGGAGCGTCAGTTCACGCGCCGTCTGCGCTGGTTCTGGCTGCAGCCCAGCTTCTGTGCCGCGTCCCCCCGCCTCCAACCCCACCCAGCCCACAGATATCTGCTGTGAGCCTCCCAGCCTTCACTCAGCCGGGGGATGGCTCTCCAGGAAGTGTGTGAGTGGCAGGCTCCTGACACCCAGGCGCTGGTGCCTCACCTGCCGCGGACTGGCAGCTGGGCTGTGCCTAGGGGCTGCGATCCCCAAACCTTCCTGCAGACCCACGGCCCACAGCTGGCCCACGGCACCACCACCCTGGCCTTCCGCTTCCGCCACGGGGTCATCGCCGCGGCTGACACGCGTTCTTCCTGTGGCAGCTACGTGGCCTGCCCAGCCTCACGCAAGATCATCCCCGTGCACCAGCACCTGCTGGGCACCACCTCGGGCACCTCTGCGGACTGTGTCACGTGGTACCGGGTGCTACAGAGGGAGCTGCGGCTGCGGGCCCTGAGGGAGGGCCAACTGCCCAGTGTGGCCGGTGCAGCCAAGCTCTTGTCGGTCATGCTGTCCCGCTACCGGGGGCTGGATCTGTGTGTGGCCACTGCCCTGTGTGGCTGGGACCGCTCTGGCCCTGCCCTCTTCTACGTCTACAGCGATGGCACGTGGCTGCAGGGCGACATCTTCTCGGTAGGCTCGGGGTCTCCCTATGCCTACGGCGTGCTAGACCGTGGCTACCGCTACGACATGGGCATCCAGGAGGCCTACGCCCTGGCTCGCTGCGCCGTGGCCCACGCCACCCACCGCGATGCCTACTCCGGGGGGTCTGTTGACCTTTTCCACGTGCGGGAGAGTGGATGGGAGTATGTGTCACGCAGTGATGCCTGTGTGCTGTACACGCAGCTGCAAAAACTCCCAGAGCCAGAGCCTGCGGAGGAGGAAGGGGAGGCCAGCCAGGCCCACCCTGAGCCTGCCACTCCCCACAGAGCTGGGGGAGGCAGGGGACTCTCTGCGGGGCCAGGGGAGGCGACACCAGGAGACTTCAGGATGCCAGCAGAGACTGAGAGGCTGTGAGAAGTGGCAGCACTTGGGGCAACGGAGGCCTGGGGCAGCAGGGGCAGGGCCCCTCCAAGAAGAGGCTCCCAGCATTTGGTTCCAGCCGTCTGATCCACAGCTCTGCCTGTCTGCCCCAGAGCTTACTGATGAGTTACGCTCCTGTTGTGCTCTGTGTCTTGGTCCAGCCTGCTGCAGGCCTGCGGCATGCCAGGGGCTACGTGCTCTTTCCTCGCCGTGCCATGCACGATCTCACCTCCTCCTCCATCTTGGCCCTCCATGCTTACTTCTCCAGGTCACTGTCGCACCTGAGAGGGCAGCCGTGCCTCTCAGAAGGAGGTGGCATGGGGGGCTGGGAGCCATGGAGACGGCTGTGGCGAGTGCCGACAGGCTTGGCTCATGTGCTCGCCACCTCTGCCTGGCCGGTGACTACTATTCACTACCTGGTGACTGCACACAGTTCTCACGACAGTGCTGTGAGGCCCGAACACTCCCCACGTTGCAGAAGAGGAACCTGGAAAGGGCTCTGAGCCCTGCCCCAGTCCCGTGGCAAGAGGTAGGGACGAGGGTCAGGCCCAGGCCTCCTCCACCACAGTCCGGGCTCTACTGTGCGGTGTCCCCTCCCATTCTGCCGGGCCAGACATGGAGGGAGGGTCGCTGGGCCAAGCCCCGCCTGGTAGCCGGGGATGAACGGACGCTGAAGAGTCCTGGGGCTTGGAGTGGTGAGCTTGGGGCAGCTGCTGCCCGGTTACACTTGGCTGTATCTGCCGGGACCCACTGTGCTCGCTGGACTTTGGGGCCCGGTCTGGTCGCTGGCACACCTCTTCCTCCGTTCTTCCATTCGCTTCTCTCTGGTTGCTGTTTCCTGCTGCTCCCCTGGAGAATGAAGAGAGAATGAAGGAGGCAGAGGCGGTGGGCGCTTTCTGCCAGCACCTCCTCCCCTGCCTCCCTGGTCCTCCTCCTGCCACCTGGAAGTCACCCCCCACCCCCAGGTTGACAGCTCCAGGAGGGCCTGCAGCCCCTCTCCTGGGCCGGGTTGGCCTACTTGGGGCCTGAAGTGAGGTTCCTGTCACTTCTTTCTCTTTCCTCCTGCTCCAAAAGCTTCCACTCTTGGGAGTCACAACCCCTTCTCTCCCTCAGCAGGGACTAGCCAGACCCTGGGACACCTCTGGACCCTGGCTCTGAGGGTGACTGGGGACAAGGGATGAAGGGTCAGGGAGCCCAAGACAGGAAAGCAGTGGGGACAGGGAGGGGGGGATCGTGGTGGGGAACCCGGATACAGGGGGACTCGCCTTCAAGCCCCAGCCAGGGGATCCTGCTGGGGCCTCTGCTGCAGCCCTTCTTCACCCTGTGCCCACACCCCAGGCTCAGGGGAAGAGGTGGGGGACTCAGGGTCAGGGGCCCCTGGGATAGCCTGGTTTGAGGGGAGTACAAGAAGAAGTGTTTGATGGGCTCAGGCAAAGAGTGTGGCCAGGAGTGTGTGTGCACAGAGTATGGGTTTGTGTCCAGGTGCTGGTGACCCAGGATGGGGGGTGTGTGCCTGCCGGGGGCAAGTGCATGTGTGTGGTTCCCGCGTGCGCAGAGACCAGAAAGCAGACTGGATGAGAATGAGCAACGCCTGAGTAGGGACAGCAGGGATGATCAGGGAGAACCTCAGCCGCCTCACTGCATGCTGCCGCCGGAGCCCAGCCCAGGGTGTGCAGTGAGCTTCCCGCAGGTGCTCTGTGCCCCTTCCCTTCCCAGACTGGAGGATGGCTGAATGAGCAGAGAGGGCGCCCCCTCTTCTTGCATCTGTGCCCCACTCCCCCTCCTTTCCTTGCCCGCTCTCTCCCTCCCGTTGCCAGGCCCTGCCCTTGCAGTGATGACGTGTTTGAGGTGGAGACAAGTCCGCAGGTCCTGCTGACACGCTTTCCTCCTTGAGGTTTCTAACGAGATGGGCGAGGACCATATGAAGGTATTAGGGACAGGCAGAGGCCGACGTCACGTTCCTGTGGCCGCCCCCCCCCACTACCCGAGAGTGACCCGTTGGTCCTTTCCTGTGCCGAGGTCTTGCCCTGCGTGCCTGGCACTGGAAGTCCTCGTGCCCACTGATGCCCTGCTTGGGGCACTGTCTCCTCAGTCTCGGATGGCCTTGGGGGATAGACAGCCTACTCTTTTTTTTTTTTTTTTTTGACAGGCAGAGTGGACAGTGAGAGAGAGAGACAGAGGAAAGTCTTCCTTTGCCGTTGGTTCACCCTCCAATGGCCGCCGCAGCTGGTGCGCACTGCACTGATCCGATGGCAGGAGCCAGGTACTTATCCTGGTCTCCCATGGGGTGCAGGTCCCAAGCACTTGGGCCATCCTCCACTGCACTCCCTGGCCACAGCAGAGAGCTGGGACAGAATCCGGCGCCCCAACCGGGACTAGAACCTGGTGTGCCGGCACCGCAAGACGGAGGATTAGCCTAGTGAGCCGTGGCCCCAGCCTACTCTTACAAAGGCCCTTGGACTAACTGGGGCCAGAGTTCCAGCTCCAGTACTGGGGTGGGGGCCTCGTTGTCCTGCCACTGGTTTGCCCTAACCAAGCAAGGTGTGGAAGGTGTGAGAAGGCACAGTCCCGTTGGAATGGCCACTGCCAGCACCTCCCACTTGGAAGGGGGGTCACGGGCAGGCTGACCTGCTCCTGGGTCTCTTGGAGTCCCTCCAGCAGGCAGGAGCCCCGTTATTCTGCTTACCCCCGGGCGGTAGTGTTCTGGAGACGCTGCCACCCCCGCTGACTCTGATTCTGCCCCTCAACATCCCCCTTCCCACCCTGCTCTCTTCCCTTGGTGCCCTACAAAGACTAAGAAGACCTCGGACTGGGAGGAGAATTAAAGGTGGGAGCAGTGGGCCCAGATTGTGTCTGTCTCATTCAGGACCACCCTTTCCCCAGGGGGCACTATAGACCCCAGGAAATGCTGGCCTGGCCCCCTGCTGCCTGCCACCTACACTGCTCCCCAGGCCCCCCCCCCCCCCCCGCCCCGGTCTTCCTCCTCTCTTCTCTGTGGCTCTCAGCCTCCCCCTTGCCAAGTGCCCCCATCTCACTCTCCTTGGACAGTCTAAGGGAAGTTGGAAAGTCCAGTCATCTCCTTACTCCCCAAATGCGTGTACCCAAATCCAAGAATGGAGAGACCTGAGCGCCCACACACAGGCAAGGCTCCAGCTTTACAAAATAAAGTGTTTGTTTATTATGAAATTAGAGATGGAGGCCCCTCCCCTTCCTCCCTCTTTCCCCTTCCCCAGCTGCCTCCCCCTTTTCTGCCCCTCCCCTTTTCCCTGGGGCCTGGGAAGCACACAAGACAATGCCCAGAGCTGGGATGCCCAGGGCAGGCGGACAGCTGGGCAGAGCTCCAGGGAGGCGGCCGTGGCAGGGCTGGAGCTCTGGCCCTGGGAGGCGGGCTAGCTCCCTCTCTCTGCTGGAGACCGTGGAGCCAGGATGAGGCCATGAGTGATGGATGGAACCATGCGGGCAGGTCTGTAAGGACAGGAGCGGAAGAGGGGTTCAGAGGCCTGGGTGGGGGAGGGACTCTCCCTCCCCTCCTAGTAAGTGTCCAGGGCCACTGACCTGGGGCACAGCATCCCCTGCGGGAGGGTGGGCAGCAGTGGCTAGACGTCTCTCTTGCTTTTGGGATGAACAACAGAAAAAAAAAAACCAAAAACCAAAAAGCCAGTCACAGGGATCCACAGAGAAGGGTGGGACATGTGGGCAGGACACAGTGCGAGTAGGGCAAGGCAAGGGTGACAGTGGGGAGGGAGCTTTAGAGCCGCAGGGACAAAAACCGCCACGGAGAAGTCACAGTGAGAGAACACGGGGAGGACGCCACTGAGGAGACACAAGGTCCATGGACACAGACGTAAGGATGGACAGACTTGGGGGAGCCGAGGGGCTAGGGGCTAGGGGGTCTGGGGAGGGAAGGAGCAGGGACCCAGGGACCGGAGGAGGCCGGGGGTCCCTGGGCTGCTGCCGCCTGCCTTGCCCCCCACCAGGGGCTCACTCAGCGGGCCTGTGCGGGCTGCCCCACCGCAGCGGGCAGGGCCAGGCCCACGCTCAGGGGGCCGGGGGCTCCTTGGCCCCGTACAGCTCGGCCAGGGTGCGGAACAGCGGCCCCCAGTCGTCCAGCGGCTCCGCGGGGCCGGGGGCGCCGCCGGCCTCACTGCCGGAGCCCAGGGAGCTGAGCGAGCCGCAGGAGGAGCCCCGGCCCTCGTAGCCGTACACCTGCACTGAGTCGTAGGGCGGCACGCTGGGGTCCTCGTCGGCCTCGCGGAGCCTCAGCGCCAGCAGCTGGGCCACATCGGCGGGGCCCGGGGGTCGGGGCTGGCGCGGTGCGCAGGCCCGGGGCAGCACGTCGCGGCGCGCGGGGACAGCCGGGCGCCGGTGGGGCCGCCCCGTCAGGGTTCTGCAGGGCTGCGATGTCGAAGGCCTCCGTGTCCTCCTCGCCGCCGCCCTCGTCGTCGTAGGTGATGATGTTCTCGCGCACGTCCTCCTCCTCCAGCACCATCAGTGCTTCCTGCTTCTGCCGCCGCAGGGCCACGAAGAGCACCACCAGCGCTGCGGGAGACGCGTACAGGCCGCTGCGCCGCGGGGCCGCCACCACAGGCACGCACAGCCCCGCTGTCAGCACGCTGTGCGACCCTAGGAAGGTGCTTCACTTCCCTAAACCTCTTGGATCCTTAGTTTGCTCGGGTGATCATATTTACCTCTTATGGTTGTTGAAAGCAGGAAACCAAGCACCACACTTGGCATAGCCCAGGGAGGGGTGCAATAAACAGCGTATTTATCTAGTTACTGTGATGGTGCATTAGCAGGTCAGGGTCACAGGTCCCAGCTTTTCCCCCGGATGCTTCAGGTGGTGGGAAAATCCAGGCATCTAGGGTCCCTCAAGCCCCCGGGTGGCAATCCCTGTGTCTAGGGACCCAGTTCCTCTCCACCCAACTCCACAGGCCGGCAATCCACTTCCGTGACCCTCCGTGGCCTGACTCACCAAGCAAGGTGCCCACACAGGTGACGATGGCCAACAGGGCGCCGGTGCTGAGCCCGGCCGGTGAGAGCTGAGCCTCGGGCCGGCAGGAAGCCACAGAGCCGTCGGGCCGGCAGCGGCACACGCTCACGGTCACCGTGGCAGTGCTGCTCAGTGCCGGCTGCCCCCAGTCCCACAGCACTATGGGAACCAAGTAGGGGGCCTGGCGGGGCGGGGCGGGGCGGGAGGGCAGCAGCAGGCTGGCAGAGCCATCTGTGAGAGAGGGAAAGCATTGAGGCACCTCTTGGAACACCCTCCTGGTAGGGGTGGTCTGGCCTGTACCAGCAGCTTCTTGTGGAAGGTTTGCAGGGCACAAACACGTGTGTGTCGGAGTCCACACTTCCTGTGTTGGGAGGAGGCCACCCACCTCGGTTATCCCGGACGGTGAAGTTGGCATCGGGGCCCAGAGGGCCCTGAAGGGAGATGCGGCTACTGTTGCCGACTTCATCTCTGTCCAGGGCCCGGATGACCTGAATGAGCTGGGAGGAAGAAAAGAGGCCTGGCACCAAGCAGGCCCCTGGAGGCCTCGGGCTCCCGAGCCCGCAGCCTCAGCCGCTCACCTGGCCAGGGGCTGCAGAGTCACACACAAAGGTGTCGTAGGGCTCAGCCAGCTGGGGAGCATTGTCGTTCTCATCCAGGGTCTGGACAGCCACTTGCACACGGGACGCCTGTGCGGAGCTGTCTGAAGCCAGAACACCAGTACATATGCACCACACGGACAAACACAAGAGTTGACAGGGCACGTGGGTACAGGGGCCGTGTGTAGCACACAGCACACACAGCCTGCGCCCAGAGTACATGTGTGACATACAGGTGGTAAACAATGTCATGAGGCCAGTGGAGCAACACCAAACACACAACACTAATGCAGTACCTGGCATATGTACAAGATACAACATACGCTGAATGGGACTACAGCACGCACCTGGGGCGCACATGCACTGTAACCCAGAGGCAGGGCACACGCAGCATAAGCGAAAGGCAGACAGGGTGCTCACGCATTGTATGCGGATGACAACTGTGCACATGCGACGTACATACATGTTCACACCATGCCGCCCAGCTGTACTTGGTGTTTAGGTTAACGTGATCCCCATGAAGTGGGTGGTTAATATGCACAGCGAGGGCAGCAGCACCTGGTGTACCCAAGGCCCACAGAATGCACTTGCAGACGCAGGGGCCATGCACAGCACATGTGTGATGGGCATGCACACACACACACACACACACACAGACATCCAGTCAGAGGTCCCGCAGCAATGAGCATCACCTAGAGTTGACCTTGGAGACGGAGGAGCTGCATAACCCACAGCGTGCAGAGCCCAGGCCAGCCTGGGCCCCACAGCCAGACACAGGCCCCCTCTTTACACACCGTCCATCAGGTGGCTTCCTCCCTCTTATCTAACCTTGCTTGTCCCCGCTAATGTCATCTGAGCGTAAACAAGTGTGCACTCCAGGTCCTTCTCCTAGGCTGAGTCTCCCAGTTCTCTTTAGCCTTGCCCTGGGCAGAGTGAGAGCTGGGTGGCCCTGGTGAACGGGCAGGGGAGGCCAGGATTGAGGCTCTGGGGTATCTGGATACAGCACGGGCATGGGGTCTGCTCCTTCACTGGGGCCCAGCGCTGCAGGTTGATAACGGGGTGGTGCTGGAAGCTGCAGGTGCAGGAGGATGAGGAGACAGTGAGGGAAACACACACCCGCAGAGCTATGTATGCACAAGCAGCCACCACACACTCCACATGTGTACACAGCCCCAGGGCTGTCCACGCAGCTCACTGCCAGACAGCACACAGTGGCACATACAGGCACCCAAAACCAGGCACACGGGAGGTGGCTGGTGCAGGAGCTGACAGGCCGTCCACGCCTCGGCTCCGCGACCTTGGGAGGCTACCTCAACTGTCTCATTCAAAAACAGGGACATAATCACACCTCCCAAAGCAGCCATCAGGATGAAATGAAAAAACTCATTGGAGGGGAGGACTTAAGACACAGCCTGATATGTGATAAGAACTGTTAGTGTTACCTGTCCACAAACACCCATACCCTTAAGCCATAAGCAGGGCTTTCCAAAAGTCCACAGTGAAGGTGTATTTGCAAAAACTGCACACCTGGGGCTTCCAAATAAATGTATCCTTTAGCTCCCTGTTGCCACAAACTTTATGAAACACCCTCGTGCACCATGCACCGACAGCTTCTTGTACACACACTCTCCAAACACCAGAGAGCTACTCACACAGACACACCGATGGCGTAAGCAGGACTCCACACACAGCTGTGAGTACAGCCATGTCTGGTTACAGCCACACACTCACCAATACGTGTGCATGCTTCCCACATGCGGAACTGCACGCTCACGGGGGTCCATGCCTGCGTGCGCATGCACACAGCTGCCCACTGATGGTACACAGTGCAACGCTGCAGTGTGAGCACAGCAGGGAAGGGAGCCCCAGGCACCGAGCAGAGGACGCACAAACAGCTCCTGTCTCCTGGCCAGGGCTCCTGGTGACTGAAGGGGGTAGGGTGGGAGAGCCCGCACATGGAACTGGTGCCCCCCTCCGACTAACAGCCTCCTCCCCTCCCCGCACAGCTCTAGCCTGAAGCTGGGAATGGGCAGGACAGGGTCTGGCAGCCCCAGGTTAGCAGCTATGTGAGGTCTTGTTTATTTCTGGGTTGAGCCAAGTCAGGTGAGAGGGTGATTTTCGTGTCAGGAGAATGCTCACGCAGGCCCCTTGTGGCCAGCCCAGCCTGGCCCAGTCCAGGAGACAGGAGGCCTGCCTGGAGGTGAGGACCCAGGAGGGCACACAGGGCTAGGATAGTGGTGATGGTGTGATGGCAGGAACGGTTCCCCACCCCCGCTCACAGGGCCAGCCCCTGGGCCAGCAGGCCTGTGGGCGCAGGACTGCTCACCGAGCTCTGTGGCCAGTATGGTGAGGTTGTGCCACACTCGAGCTTCGCGGTCCAGGGGCACTGCTGTGCGGATCGTGCCGTCCTCTGGCTCAATGGAGAAGCAGCGCTCGGGATCCGAGTGCGGGAGGATGGAGTACCTGGGGAGAGGAGCAGGGCTGGAGCTCGCTCGCACCTCTCCCTACGCTGTGCTCAGCCTCCCGGCCCGAGCCCTGCAGACTCTGCCCCAGGCCCCCAGAGCTATCGTTCAACCTGGAGGCCTTCTTAAAAGGCAAATCTGCCTGGGAGGTCACCGCCATCAGGCACCTGTCCTACGATGGGGTTTCGTGGAGATGCGAGGAGGAGAGACAGAGAGGTGGAGGGCCGCCAGCACCTGCCTTTCAGACTTCCGGGCTCTGTTCTGGGGACACGGGAGCCTATGTGTCAGCCCTGCTCTGCTCTGGACCAGCTGTGTGACCTCAGACAAATCATTAAACCTCTGTTTACCCGCCTGCAACATGGGAACGTTACCAGCCCCTGCCTCACAGAGCACTGGCAGGGATGCCAGCTGGAGGGGTGGCAAGAGTGGCCCCTCTCAAGGCTGGCAAAGCCAAGTTCGACCCTGGACGGAGGACTTGAGCTCACAGCCAGCCCCCAGAACGGCTGCTGCTAACACCCACTTAATGGGGCTCTCGTGAGAAGGGAATGTCATAGACCACGGGAAGAGGCAAAGCCCTTAGCAGGTTATCTGCAGGGAGCCATGAGCAAATGGGATTCCGTTTGTTGGCACTGCTGCCTCTGGGCTGGCAACGAGTTGTGAGGTGGTCAGCCAGGGCCTGCAGAACCCCCTGACAGCCAGGCCTGCAGACAGCAAGGCCAGCGGGCAGGGAAGGCAGCTTCTGCCGGGAGGTGTGACAGAAGGTAAAGGGGGTACGTCCGCAGGTGGGCATGGCCCCACGTCGCAGCTCACCTGATTGGGCTGGCTGGGGAGTCCAGGTCCGAAGCCGAGACCTGGCCCACCAGGGTCCCGGGAGCCTTGTTCTCCAGCACTGCCAGGAGGTAGGCAGCCTGGGTGAAGGCAGGTGGCTCGGGGGCGTCCTGCACGGCCACGCGCACCGAGGCCACGTCCTTGAAGGGCCCCCGCCGCAGGTAGGCTGGGTCGATGAGTGTGTTGGTGGCCTCTACACGGAATGAGTAGGAGCGACGGGTCTCGAAGTCGAGGGGCTGCGGGCACGGGGCGGAGTGTGAAGCAGGCAGCCCCCAGGCTCACAGGAGAGGGGCCAGGTCCCTTCCCCGCATGGATCTGGGGCTCAGCGCTCATGGGGAGAGGTGGCACTGGAGGGATCGTGGCCTCGGCAGGTGGGAGAGGGTGGCAGCAGGCGAGCTGGGAACTCTGGGTCTGCCCCCACTCCCTCAGACTTGCTACGTGACCTTGAACCAGTCACTTCCCCTCCCTAGGCCCCAGGGCCTCCTCTAGAGAGGTGAGATGGGGAGCTCCAGCAGGCAGGGGGCGAACCTTGCGCACAGTGAGGAGCCCATCTCGCCCCTGTGGGTCCGTGCTGATGCTGAAGGCCTCGGACCCCTCCCCATCCAGGATGCTGTAGGCCATGAGGGCGTTGTCGCCCAGGTCTGGGTCCTGGGCCTGCAGTCGGCCCACCAGGGTGCCAGGCCCAGCTGTCTCCACCACGGAGAACTGGTACAGACCTGCGAGGAGTGGAGAGGGGACACACATCTTTGAGCAGCGAGGACCCCAGCTCTCCTCCTCACCCCCAGCACTGTCCTTCTCCCACGGGCTGGCTGTGGTGGGGGTGGGGAGGGAAGCACCAGAGAGGTGCTGCATGTGGCGGTGGGGGGCTGGGGTCAGAGGACCAACCCAGGCAGTGAGTGGCAGGGGCCCCTTACTCTGCGGGAACTTGGGGGGGTTGTCGTTGACATCGCTGAGGGTGACGGTCACCGTCGTGCTGCCCGACAGCCCCCCCATGTGGCCGCCCATGTCCTTGGCTTGGATCACCACCAAGAACTCCTCCTGTGTCTCCCGGTCCATGTTGGGGATGGCTGTGCGCACCACTCCTAGGGACAGAGGCCAGGTCACTGGCGGCGCTCGTGCCCAGGGCTGCCCCCAGGCTTCCGAGCGCCATCCTCACCAGTCTGGGGGTCCACGGAGAAGAAAGGCAGGCCGTCGAGCACAGTGTACACCAGCTTGGCGCTGTTCCCATAGCTGGGGTCATCGGCGTCGTGGGCAGTCACCTGGATCACCGATGTCCCTGGGAGGGATCCCGGCACCCGCCTCAGCACAGACGGGGCCAGTGGGGACAGAGCCCAGGGAGGAGGTGGGGTGGGGACAGGGGGTGGGGGTGGGCTCAGGTAGGAGGGAGGCTGAGTCGAAAGGGAGTTCTGGGCAGTTGGCCCTGGGGGGGAAGGGGAGGCGAGGGGGCTCCGGCAGACGGGACGGGGTGCCTGCAGCACCGGGTGCTCACCGACGTTGGACATCTCGGGGACTGTGGCGTGGTAAGGCCCGAGGGGGAAGACGGGAGGGTTGTCGTTGATGTCTTGCACTTTGATGATGAACTCTGATGGCGGCTCCAGGGGCCGGTTGGACGCTCGGTCCACCGCTTGGGCCAGCAGCACGTACTGCGCCTTCTCCTCTCGGTCCAGGCTCTTGGTGACGTGGATATTGCCCGTGGCCTCGTCAATCACAAACACGGTGCCTGCCCCCTCCCCGGTCAGCAGGTACTTGGTGCGGCCCTCACCCCTGTCCACGTCCGAGTGCAGCTGGAGGGGTCAGGGAAAGACAGACGGTGCAGGGTGCAGGGCCAAGACACTGAAGAGGCCAGGCTTGGGCGGCGCATGGGGGTGTCCCGAGGGGCCAAGGTCACTGCAGAAGTGAGGAAGCTCTAGGGCAGGGTCCCCGGGGAGGGGGAAGCCTGGAGGTGTAGTCAGAGGAGCCCCAGGAGGGGTGATCCTTACCTTGCCAATGAGGACTGGCTCTGGCCCGGCATATTCCTCAATGACAAAGAACTGGTTCCAGACCCAGCTCCTTCGGGTTCGCAGCAGTGCAGGCCCTGGGCGCCCTCGGGACCCTGCCCAGGCCCGGGCCGGGGCTGCCAGACGTCCCATGCAGCCCCAGCCCCCCAGCCAGGCCAGCAGAAGCCTCACCAGGCCCCACATGGTCGGGCTGCAGCCAGGGGTCCGCTCAAGGGCCCCGGGTGCTGGGGCTGGGCTGGGCCAGGCGGTCCATATGCTGGCTGGGGTGGGGGGGCAGAGGCGTTGGGGCTACCCCATGGATCCACACCTGCAGGACAGGTAGCTGCTCAGGGTCAAGGCAACTCAACACCCCAACATCCGCCCACACCCCCCAGCTTTAGATGCTCAGACTGAGGCAGAGAGCAGCTGGTCTGACCGGGCCCTCCTCCCAGGCCTGCCTGCAGTCACCTCCAGCTCTCCAAGCTGCTAAACCTCTGGTCAGCCAGCTCGGAGGAGAGACGCTGGGGAGAACCGGGGATGCTGGGAGGGCTCGGGATCCGAAATCTGGTCCCTGTCCTGCCAGGTTGGGCTCAAAGCCAGGGCACTGGAGGAGGTGGGGCAGCCAGAGAGAGGCTTAAAATTGGGGGGTTGGGATTCCCGGAGGTGTGGCCTCCAGATGTCTAGGGTTAGGCTGAGAGATGACAAGGCGTGCAGCCTAAGCCAGGGTTCAGAGCCTGGGAAAAAGTCCCTCCCCGGTGGACCCACCTCGCCAGACCCTGCCCCCAGTCCACACTGCTACTGCAGTCCCAGAAGTGGGATGGGGCTCAGAGCTGGAGGGGGAGGAGACCCGGTGATCAGAGACACAGAGTGACTGGGGCTAGACCAGCTCGGGGACTGTCCGGCAGAGGCAGCGACAGACAGGGAAGATCAGGGAGGCAGCCTGGGTCTCTGAGAGGCAGAAGAGGAATCAGGTGCTAGGCTGGGGCCAGAGGCCGGCCGCAGAGGGGCATGCAGCATGGGGGTGTGCACCAGGGCAGGGGGCCGGCAGACCAGGCCTCCGCAACTTCATTCTGGAAGAGGGAGCAGCCCGGGAGGAGCTGGCGAGAGGACCTTGCCCCCTGCGCTGTCCCTCCCTCTCTTCCTGGGGGGACCCTCAGGTGGCTGTGGCTGGCGGCCGCCCGCCCCTCCTCCGTCCCCCGGAGCTGACACACACCTGACAGTCAGTTTGCTCCCGAGGGAAGAGAGAAGCTGAAGGGAAGCCGGGGACGGGAGAGGGAGGCGGGACGAGGAGGAGAGAAGGAAGGGGATAGCGGAGTGGAAAGCAGGGTAGCAGGGAGGGAGCGGGAAAGGGAAAAGAGAGAGCAGAGACGGAAAGGTAGAGGGGCAGAGGCAGAGCGGGAGAGGCGACGCGAAAAGGCAGGACAGGGGAGAGAAGGGCTGGGGAGGCAGAGGAACGGGAGAGGAGGCAGCCAGGCAGAGGAGGAAGGGGCAAGAGAGACCGGGAGAGGAAAAAAGCGGAGAGGTGCGCGGGAAGGGGGTTAGAGCGCGGGAGAAGCGAGCCGGCAGTGGGCTTCCAGCCACGGAGCGCCCCGCGTCTTAAGACACCCGCAGGCTGCGGGCCCCCTGCTGCCCCTCTGCCCATTCCCGACCCCGGGCTGCAGGGCGGGCGGCCCTTACCTGGCGCTGCCGAGGGGCCCAGGCCGACAGGGAGCGCCCCCGCCCGCCCCCGCCGCCGGGTCCCGGGGGCGCAGCCCGGAGCCGATCAGAGCGGGCGCCGCGGCTCCGCTGCAGGTCTGAGCGGCCCCGGCGAGAACAAGGGAGCGAGACGGAGGGGGCGGGGGAAGGAGGCTCCGCCTGCGGAGGAGCGAGGCGGCTCCGCGCCGCGCGGGAGAGGAGAGCCCAGCCTCCGACCCTCCCCGGCCAGCCGGGCCCGCGCGGCGGGGGCGGGGGCGGCGCCCGGCGCCCGCCCCCTCGGCGCTCCAGGGCTGCGGGGTGCATACAGATGTGGCGCCCCTCCGGGGCCGGCCCGCAGCGCCTGGCGGGGTACTCGGGTGGGAGGACATCCAGGCCACGGCGCCTGGCCCTCTCGGAAGAGCTGGCAGGGAGGGCGCGCCCGGGAGCGCGGAGCGGCCGGCAGGTTCCCAGCGGCGGGGCGAAGGGCAAGCGCACGGTGAGGCGGGGTATCAGCATCCCACCGTGGGAGACGGCGCCCCGTTCCTGGACCGGCGCGGGATCCCGTGCGGAGTACAGTGGTGGTCGGCCGGGGTGTTCTTAAGGATAACAAGGGTCCAGGGAGTCCACGAGCCGGGCCCAGGGAACGTGTTGGGGACGGAGGCACGACAGCGGTGGGAGGGCGGAGGTGGGGAGTGGAGCCTTCTGGGGAAGCTCATTACAGGGGCCCACAGAGTGAGGGGCTACCGCCCCCTGGTGGCAGTCCTGGGAAACACCGCGAAGCCGGCGAGCAGGTGACCAAATGTCTAATGCACAGGACCAGGAATCAAGAGCAGACCTTCTAGCCGTCTGGGGTGCTGCCTGGAATACAGGGCGCCTCTCCTGCTCCCAAATGAAGACGGTACACAGCTTTGGGATGGCTAGAACCAAGGCAGGGATGCAGGGTGGTGGGAAGCCCTGGTTCCAGAAATGAGTGAAAATGAGCCAAAACAAGCACACGGAATGCAGGCAATGCAGACTCTAGGCTGTGGCCATCTCCTCACCCAGGCCCAATGAAAGCCACTCACACGCTATTTAAAACTAAGTCAGATTTTATTTTTTTTTCCATAGACCACATCATTTAATAATAAAAAAAATAAAAATAAAAATTGAACAAAAGGAAAAGGTGGATATAAAGTGGAACCGGTCAGCAAGAGGCAAAGGCTGCAGGACAGAAGAGACTGGGAACTGCAGGGGCCCCGGGACTCAGGAGGAGACGCTGATTCAGCTCATAGGTGACCCAGTCCTGGCCCCGGCTGTTCCCGAGAGGCGACTGTGAGTACCCAGGGGAGGCGGTGAGAAGGATGGTGGAAAAATGAGAGGTCTCAGGGCACCTGGCTGTTCCCCACCTCCCTCCCTAACCTAGCTCTTCCCTCTCACAGACTGAATGGAAATGAGAGGGAGGAAAGGGCTAAGTCCCAAGAGTTAGGTTTAAAAGGCAGTGGGGAGGATGGCCACTGCTCCATCTGCTCTGTGGGGACAGGTGGCAGCCAGACGTCAGCGCTGGGCAGACGGTGTGAAAGAGCCCTGGTTCCAGAGCGGTGAAGACTGTACCTATCCCTCTGTGGCCTTTAACCCCCCTCCCCGGGGCAGAGTGGCTGGTACCTGCAGCTCTCCTAGTGTTCTCCCGGCTAGCGGCGCCCACCCCGGTCCCGCACAGGGGTGCTCCGACTCCGGCTTCTGCTGTGGCGCTTGGTGTCTCTGCGGTCCCGCTCCCGGCCTCTGTCTCGGTCCCGCTCCCTGTCTCGGTCTCGGTCCCCCCTGTCGCGCTCCCGCTCCCGCTCGCGCTCCCGCTCCCTCTCCCTGCTGTGCTCCCGCCTCTTCTCCCGCTCCAGCTGCCGGGTCCGCTCCCGCTCGGCTTCCTTCTCCCGCTCCTTCTGCTCCTCTTCTTCCTGCTCCTTTCGCCGTTTCTCCCGCTCCTTGGCCCGTTCAGCCCGCTCTGCCTCCTTCTGAACGATCTGCAGCCGGGTGGGAAAGGCAGAGTGTCGGCACCTCGGCCCCGCGCCCGCCAGTCCCACCCTGTCTGTGCCCGGACCGCTGCGCGCCTGCCCTGCTCACTGGCTCGGCTCTGCTGGGAGGCAGGAAGGGCCCGGGGCCCAGCAATCACACCTGCCTTCCTCACAGCAAGTTCTCCATTTTTATACACCCAGCAGGTACTGGCACCACCCACGCCTGGTCTTTGGTGTTCCCCTAGCTATCATCAGCCTAGATGTAAGCGAATCTTCTTACTTTCGTCAAACAGTCGAAGACTGAAATGCCCAAAAGGCCCATCACTCTGAAACTAAATTTAACAAGTGAAAACTCCAGGAGTTAGAAAGCAGAGGAACAGATGAAGCTATAAAACCGATCTCTCAGCCAACCAGCATCAAGTTCTAAGAAGCTTGGTGGGCACAGCTACAACTTCAGCTGCTGCCTGTCCATCCACCCCTCCGCACTGGGTTTGGTTGCTCTGTGGCATGCTGCTTTGTTACTTCCTGTGATGTTTAGCCATTTCCTGTGTTGCTCCTAAACTAAGACCTGGGTCCACCTGCTCTTGCAGTCCTGTGACCCTCCCCTGGTGCTGACCTCCAGCCCAGATGCTGCTTGGGGTGGGCATGAAGGTGGGCACTCACCTGACTGTCAGTCAGCGGGAGCCAATAGATGCAGGGGGCCGCCTTGGTCTTACGGAAAAGGTCGTCCAGTAGCTTGGCAGGCGGCTCCTCCTGGGCCTTCTCTGAGGTGGAAGAGAGTGAGTCAGATCTGATGGCCATGGCCTTCCAGCCCCATCCCACCTACTGGCAGGTGCTGGCCAGGTACCTTTTTTCTCACTCTTCTTCTCTTTAGATTTTGCACGTTCCTTGCGGCGGCGGTCACGGGACCGCGATCGGGAACGTGGCCCCTCCCGAACTTTGTCTCGATCCCATTCACGCTCCGATCGAGTTCGTTCCCGTCGCTCCATTTCTCGTTCCCGCTCTGCCCACTGCTCCCGCACTGCCCGCTCCTGTTCCCGCTGTTCTGCCCGGGGGTGCTGTGGTGGCTGGACTGGGGGTGGGGGAGGGGGGTGTAGGGGCCGTGGTACTCCCTGCTCCTCTGCCTTGGTCTCAGAGGGACGGTCCACCAAGAGACCCCGGTGATAATCCAGCTGTGGGCAGAGGAGGGACAAGAACAGTCAGCGAGGAGAAGCCATCACTCCCACTGAAGCTACCCATGTACCAGGGGCGCAGATACACCCAGCAGGTGGGGGAGGGAGGGAAGCGCACAGAAACTCGGTGACTACAGGCTCGCCAACGATCTTAGCTGGAATCTCCCAGCCCACCCACTACTCCCCTCCTTCCTTTCCTCTGGTTTCTCACCTCTTCTTGCTCAGCATAGTCAGCACAAAGGAATTTCGGATTGGACTGGGGCCATTTGACCCCATGCAGAGCTGTGCGGGTGGCAACTGCTTCCTCTACTGTTGAGTACTGGTGGAGGAAGGGAGAAGGCAGAGGGTCATGGCATGTCTTCAATCCCTCCCATCGGCCACACTGCCTGGAAACCTGCCCACCCTGGTCTCCCAAGGAAACAGTATGCCATAACCTTCTCCCTCACCGTGACAAAGCAGTGAGATTTGATCTTGTCAATCCAGAAGGCCTCCTCCACCAAGGTTCCTGTGCGGCCCAGTAATTCCTTCAGCTGGCCTAGAGTGAAGGGTCGAACCTGCCGATGAAGAGACTTTCAGGGCCCTGAAGAAGGCGAGCATGACACCCACGTGCCAGTATGAAGATTGCCTATGCTGCTGCCGCAGGACTGTGTCTTCAAGCCTGGGAGAGGGCAGTGCCCTGCAGAGTGGCAGCACTGACACACAGGGCAGGCGCCAGGCCCTGCCAATCCTCCACACAACCCTGCAGCAAGCAGGCCCTTTTCCTTCCCAGTGCTGGGAGGAGGAAATAGGTTAAATAACTCAGGCAAGGTCAGTGCGTAACAAGAGGCCTAGGAGCCAGACTAGGAAACCTGGGTCAAAAGCTCAGACTCTCAGCCACTACCCAAGTCTGGAACGTGAGAAACGAGCACTTACCAAATTGGAGATATGCACAATGTTACTAATCTTGCCCCGGGGCGGGGAGGGCACCTGCGCGGTTCGGACTGGGTCATCGATAGTGATGGAAACTCCGGACTTCTGCTGGCTAATGGAGCGTCGAGTTAAGGTGTCTCCTAGAGTCACTATCGAAGAGAGCACAAGAAGAGCTGTAGGAGGGAGCAGTGTTGGCTCTTTCACCTCCAATCTGACTGCAGGGCTCCTTCCTGTTGTTCACTGCCATGCACCTCTCATACGCAAGGTTCGCTGCTGGGCTAAGCTCCCCAGGGTGGAGAGTTCAGAGGTGAGGCAGATTCAAACCCAGCTCTCGAGGAGTTTAGAACCTCGGAGATGACAGACAGGGCGAACACTACAGCACAAGGCAGAAGACTGCCCCAGGACAACGAAGTGCTCTGGGCTCCGGGGAGCTGCAGGCGCCTCACCCACCTTTCTTGACTTCATGCTCCACAGGCGGGGGCAAGGCCACCTCTACTGACACCTGCGGAGGCACAGGGGGCTCTGCTTCAGGCTCCTTCTCCTCTTCCTCTTCTTCCCGCTGCCCGTTCTCCTGGCCCTCGGCGGGTACTACCTGTGAGGGTGATGAGATCACGGAGGGGACTCTTAAAGACCACGTTGCAACATTCTTTTCGGTCTCTGGCTCTCTGGCGTGAGGGTGGTACAGTCCAGCTGCTGTCACCAGCGTGCACCCCTCCCCCCGCATATTTCTTCCACCGGGGGAGAGAATTCATTATTCAGTTCAACTCCACCAGATCCTGTCAGCACCTCAAAGTGGACTCCGGGAAGACGAGGGAAAGAGCGGAGGTATCTCAGGCTTGTGAGACGGTGACTACTCAGCTCCGCTCCTCAGCGCGTAAGCAGCCAGACAGGACTATGTGAACTGGGGTGGCTGCGCTCCAATAAAACTGTCCTTACAAGAGGCAGCCAGCTGGCTTTCAGTCTGACCCTGCAAAGTGCCAATTAACCCAACCCTCTGCACGCACAGGAGAGTTCCCGGCCACGACTGTAACTCAGCTCCTCGGCTGCCTGCTCCAGAGGCACTGCCCCAGCCCGCCCGATGCTGGCCAGCAGGAGCCTCACCTGAGTGACAGTCCGGCATATCTTCAGTCCCTTGTCGTGGGTCCCGTCGTCGCCATTCCGCTCCGTCTCATCCTCGGAGATGCGGGAGTCATCCGCGTGAAGATCCACAACAGCCTCCTGCCCCGCCAGGGGTTTGATGTCGGGGATGAGGCTCTGGGACACAGACACCCCCCACCCCGTTACACTGGGCCCGTGTCTACTCCCACCTTAACAGGTGTCATCCTCCCTTCCCCGGCTCGCCCACCTCACCTTCAGCGATTCGGTGGTGATACTGATGGAGGGTTTCTTCTGTGTGGTGGCTGTGCTGGCTCCCCAACGTCGCTTCCGACCAGGCTGGCCCCCCTCTGTGTCACTGTTTCCAGCTGGCACCCCCTTGGTCGCTGCTGTCCCCAAGAAATAGGACCCAACAGTTAGATGGTCTCAAGTCCTCTGCTGATTCACATCATAATACCTGTAGGTTGCCTTCGGCTGGCATTTTAGGAAGAGGTTAACTTAAGGAAACTGTACTCGGGGTCTGGGGAGACCATGGTTTCGGAGGGAACAATAAGGGCCGGAGTCCCTTCCAAACAGATGATAACTCCATGTCTCTAAAAGTAACCAGGGAGGAGTAGCTAGCCTGGCAAGCAGTTTACACTTTTGGTGGTAGAGAAATATCTAAAGTAGTGGGGAAGAAAGACTGAAAAGGACTGGGATGCGGAAGAAACAAGCAGATTCTGGGCCACAAAAAATCTACACAGAATTAATTTAAGATCCTGACGCAAACTGGCCATCTCTGATTTTCACACTAAAGACTGACATGTAAGTTAGGAGCACACCAATGAGTGTCAGTAACACTTCTGTAGTCTAGAGTTCCTCACTGCGAGAAGGTCAAAAACGTTACCGTGTATGGGGCACTATTTCCACAGACGTTCTCTGGGAATGCTCTAAACATAAACGGGTAAGCATTCTGTGGGAAGCCCTCAAGCTCATTCCTGGTTCTGGAAGTTATCTGGAAGAACACAATGACCCTGAGACTAGACAGGAATGGTCTGAGGTGCCCACCGCAGTGCATTTCACTGACATGGGAACCAGGAGATTGGACAGCAACCGCCTAAAGCTCTGAGCTTCCAGGCCATGAAGATGCAAACTTGCTGGGCAGAGGGAGCAGGACGGGTGGGGGGTGACCCAAGGATGCCGCTGAGAGCGCATGGGAGTCTGTCTCTGTGATATTCCTGACCTTGATCAGGGATTTGGGGCTAGACTTACAGACAACGGAGATCTTCCTCTTGAATGATTTGGGCAGCGAGCTCTGTGTAGAGAAGAAAAGGGGAAAAAAAGAGAAAGAGAGACACCCCACAGAGAGGGGGGGAGGAGGTTAGACGGGGCAGTCTTAGCATAGGCTCCAAAGACACAGAGAGAGACAGAGAGACAGAGAGAGACAGGGACAGAGAAGGAGGGAGACAGGGACAGAGACCAAAACAGAAGCGGCAACGGCAAAAACGAAGCAGAATCAATGCAAGTTAGAGAAAAAAATAAAACCGAACATCATAGCAGGGAAGAATCAACTAGTCCATAGCACTCCTGTGTGTTAGCTTAACCAGAAATAAGCTGGAAGAGGAATTCAGCAGCTACCCAGCCCTTTAAGGATGCTGATCATGCCCTCCTCCACTGTCTCCGGGTCAGGAGGACACCAGGCCCAATGCGCTGTGCCCAGAACTGGGTCACCTGTCCTCCTCCCTCCTTTCTTGCCAATTTGAGAAAAACATGAGCAAATGTGGAAAATCGACTTCGGGATGGCAACTTCGAGAAGGCATGTCCTTTTCTCAATGCCAGTGTGAAGTCCACTGACAATGGCTGAGACTCCGCACAGCAGGGATGGCCCAGGCCCCATCACACTGTGGGAAAGGCAGCAGCAGCTTTGCTGGAGACGAAGCTGTGGAGCCAACGCCCAGCAAGAACAGGAAGTGTGTCTGGTGTGTGAGGTCCTTAGGAAGGGCAGACTGCCCCCCAGACTTTCTGACCACCACACACAGCTCCAGCAGAGTCTCCCTGCTCCCTCTCTACCCGGGGCTCAAGCCTTAGGGGCTCTGCCAAGGGCCAGCAGACAGCTTTGGAATAACCTTCTGTTCCACACATTTTGTGGGAAAAGATTACAGACAGATCAAAAACAGGGATAGAAAGAAAAGGGGAATAGAGCATTTTAGGTTTAGGTGCTTATTTCTGGAAAAACTAAGACTACCCTACCAACCTTCTAAAGGGTAGGGCAGAACCCTCTTAACTAACCCCCCCCCTCCCCACCACCCCCCAGCCCCGTTTGTGTCGTCTAACCAAGTCTCCTTGGTCTCTGTTAAGGGCCAGCCTGACCCCTAGCTGGGCCACTCTCAGTGGGTAAGTTAGTGAGAAAAAAAAAAAAAGTCTTAATTAAAACAGGAAAACATGAACCAAAATAAATAAATCCAATAAAGAAAATCAGAAAAATAAAGAAAGAAAAATTAAAATAAAAGATTAAATAAAAAAAGAAGAAGAAAATAAAGAAGAAAATAAACTAGGAATATGACAAATGTTCCAGGTACCATCTCACACCTGGGATCTTCAGTTCAGCCAATCGCACCTCACTGTGTACTGTATCTAGTCAACCGCCGGTCCAATCAGAATGAGCCCTCCCTGCTAGGCGCTGTGCAATTGGTGGGGGGTTGGGTTGGCAAAAAAGGTGGGCGCACGGCGTGGTAGTCAGCACGGCACTGCCAGAGTCCTCCCAGGGGCGCAGGGGGGATGGGAGGGAAACGTGTGGGGGGACGCTGCCCAGTTTCCATGATGTCAAGACAGTTCACTGGCGGTGGCCGGGCTCAGCGAGGGGTAGAGGGGGGAAAGGGGCAGAGACATCAGTCCTGGCCCTGGAGGGGCATCGTCTTGCAGTCCCTGATGAGATGGCCTGTGAGGAGCAGGAATGGTCCTTGCCTTTCATCGGGAGAGGTAGGCAGGACCCTATGTCCACCAGTGGCAGCTGCAGCGGTACCACCACCCAGCACTTGGCGTCCAGGTGATGACTCCAGAGTCCCTTTCTCCTCCGCCTGTAACTGGGGAGGGGTCCTCTCTCCGAGTGGGATCATGGAGCCTCTGATGAAGGTGGCCTGGGGGCAGCAGGTGCACATCCCCAGGACCTGGCACACATTCAGCAGCAAGGTCAGAATGCTCTTCTTCTGAGAGTTGTGAGTGGCATCTCCTCAGGGACTCCATCTGAGACAGCGGTTCCAGTCAGGTGGATGAATGAGCCCCTGCCTCCAGGGATGGAGGAGAAGTTGGAGCAACCAACAAGCTGCCCTTCACCATGGACAGCAGGGACCAAAGAAAAGTCCATCTGATGAGCAAGTGGTGACACATGGGCTGGGCTGCCATCAGCATTAAATCCCTGGGGCACAGACCCTACACTCCTCTGCAGGGTTCCTAGTCGTCACAGCTTAAGCCGAGGGCCCCACTCAGTATTTCATAGCATGACACTGTGATCACAAACATTGACTCTTTAGGTGGCCTTGGTGCCCTAGATGGGGATCCCAACAGTCTGTAGCAAACAAGGCAACCCACAGTCCTCAAAAGGGCAAGGGTATGTGGGCAGGCGCCCCAGCACTGGCACAAGCTCTTCTTGGGGTGTCCCAAGTAGGGAGACGATGCAAGTCCACCCCTTTCCAAATGCTTTTTGCTTTCTCAATACAAGTCTCTCCAGAACAGTGCTCTTCTTGGCCCCCTGATGTAAGCAAGACAGGGAGGCAAAAGAGGGCCCATCACAGGAGCCCATATACATGCCCCCCTCTGGCCAAGACACCTGGATAGCAGACTCGGCTCTGATTGGGCAGCTCAGTAGCAGCGGGTGGGTCCAGAGGAAGAGGCGGCATCAGCGATTGGCCAGTTGGGCAGGGTTATATTTTACGGGCGGATTACCGTACATGAGGTGCTTGGACAAAGTTTTACGGGGAAGAAGGACCTTGTAATAAATAATATTCTGCACATCAAATCACTTTCACCGGCCCCCACCCCCGCAACACACACCAGAGAAAGGCTACACACACAACAGTCCCTCCCACCCTGTTAACCCATTCCCAAACCCAGCTAATTCTTTCTCTAAGAACTTTAGGAGGCAAGAAGACTTCGCTGGCTCTGATCGGGGGAGCCCCCTGAATCTGGGTTCAGGACACAATTATATGCCAAAAAAGGAGCTCCAGGGTTACAGAAAGAGAAGGGGTCTCCTGGATCACCCCTAAGCAGCTCCACCTCTGAAATGAGACCACTGGGGGGCAGATAGGAACAAAAATTCCTCAGCATGGCTGGTTCTGGTGAGTCAGCGAGGCCCACTAGATGGCGCTGAGTTACGCTAGGTGTTTAAAAAGGAGGGAAAGCTAAAGGAGTTACCATGGGCAAGCTCGGCAAGATGGCAGGAAAAGCTGAGCCTGGGTCTTAGATAAGAAACCAGGAACAGGCTTTCCAGTTGAAAACAAGTTTCCAGGAGTCTGAACTACTAATTCCCCAACAAGGAAAGGAGAACAAATGAGCCCTGTCCCCATCACAAGGGGTCTCCCTTGCTAAACCAGCGAATTCTCCCCTGGCCTTGTCCTGATCCAAGTTCCTGGCTCATCCCTTCCGTAAGTTATCCCACTTTGTAAGAGGGAGCACCAGAGTGGTCTACTCTCTCCCCTAGGTGCACTCCTGACCACCACCCACCCCAACAGGCGGCTTGGATAGTTACCTCTTTCTTCTCCTCATCTTCAGCACTGCCCTCTGGGCGGTCATCATTACTGACTTGGTCTGCAATAGGCATAGGAAGCTCCGGGACGTCATTTTCAGGTCTGCTCTCACTTGTGTCCATGGTCACTTCCTCCTTCTCCTCACTGACAGGATGGGGGGAGGTTGGGAGGGAAGGGCAGGAAAGAACCAAGGGGGAGAGAAAGCAAGAAGTTAGTGTGTGGCACAGGAAACCCTCAGGCCCCTTCACTTCAGTGGAATTGGGGAGGGGTATGCTTTTGAGATCATACTAAAGACTTCATCGTCATGGGAGAAACGAGAAACCATTTTCTTGGGGAAAGAGCATGGATTACAGCACCCACATCCACCCACTGCCCAGATGGGATAAAGCTGGTACGAGTGGGTTAGGACAGCTATTTTAGGTCATAACTCACCACAGTATTCTCACAGGAAAAGAAGACCCTCCTCTGAAACAAAGTCCCTCAAAAATGACTTGATTTGACCACAACCCTATGGCCTCCCTGTCCCCTGGCCACAGGCATTTTCATCTAGTAAAACTGCATGAGAAACTAAGGGAAGCCTGGATTCTTTACAAAGGTGAGAAAGAACGGCCGTGGCTGTGGCAAATGATCCCAACTTTGGCTTTAATCAACTCTTAATAAGTAAATGCCTGCTGACCCACAGGATCTGGAGACACCAGGAGCGGAGAAAGTGATGGGGGTGGGGACACCGGGAAAGCGCAGCTACAAGGACCCCAGCTGTAGGGTAACTGGACAGTAGAGACGCTTAGAGAAGGATCAGGCCACCTTTACCTGCTCAGAGGTGTAGGAACTGTTCTGATATTCGGCTTTCACCCAGTTTCTCCCACTCCCTCATTCCAACTTCCAAGAGATAGAGAGAGCAAGCCTCCCAGTCAGGGCACACCCTCCCCCCTCCCCCCCACCGCACAGATCCCCCAACACTGAACCCACCCCCAATCACACAAGTTAGCTCCCATTTCAGGCAAAGAATCCCAGAGAGTCACTTCAGATAAACTCTTCCCACCTTCGTTTCCTGTCCTCCTTTCTAACTGCTCTCTCTAATCTCACCCCCTATACCACCCAAATACTGGGCCAAAAAAATCCAATCAAGATGATCAGGGAGGGGCAAGCGAGCCGCCTGAGGCCAACAACCACCACCAGAAAATTCAGTACTCCCAACAGGCTGCCTGACACTCAGAGGTCAGAACCGCGTCCCTGGAGCAGCCGGGGAGGATGCACGGGTTGGGGGGAGGGGAAAATCGGAACTATGCCCCCAGCTAACAGGCCCCCACGCAATTCAACTGCTTCAATCCAGAGAAAAGGCTTATCAGAAAAATGCCCACTTCCCACACAGAGAGGGCATGTGGGGCCAACTGGAAATCAGGCAGGAAGGACAAAGGGGGAAAGCAGAATGACTGGAAACCACCAAAACGAAAGACGGATGGAGGCTACGGGGAAGAGAAGGGGCCGAGGTGAGCCGGCGCGGCGGGGAAGGGACACACGGAAATGTGGAGCTCTCACCCTTCTTTGCTTTCTGATAACATGATTTTTTTTCTCCCCCTGGAAGTGCTGTTTATCCCTTTCTGGAATGGAAGAAATAACAAAAACCAAACAAAAAATCCTAAAAATTAAAACAAAAACAAAAACACCTTCCTTGTCCCAAGATCCCACCACCTCCTCCCCAGCCACCCGATCCAGAGAGAAAATCGAGATGCAGCAACTGGGGATCCAAAAAAAATGGTAAATGGAAGGGGAGGCGGTGGTGGTGCGGGGAGGCTAAAATAGATCTGGCTTTTAAGAGATAAGCGTTAAGTCCTCACGGCAAACCCCGAGTTCGGCTGGATTGGTCTCTCTGGAGAAGGAGAAGGAGAGGGCCAGGCTGCTGGTAGTGGCTGGCTCTATTGTATTGGCGGAGCGGCAGCGATCAGCCGGAGACATGCAGGGGAGCCATCTTGCCACTTACCCAGCAGCCTGTGTGTGCGGATGGGGGAGGGCCCTGCTGCGGCAGGGGAGGGGAAAGAAAAGAGGGAGGGAGCTGAGTGAGCAAGGCTCTTATTCTCTGGCAGGCCACAGGGGCTGACTGCTGGCTCAAGAGGCCTGGCCTTTTTCCTTCTTTTCTCAGGTTACAACAGCTCCAGAGGCCTAGCCCCTTAGGGCACGGGTACTCTCTCCTGGTCTTCCCAGGGGGCGGGGAGGGGCCAGGAGGAGAGGACAAAGTTACTGCTGCTTGATTGGAAGACTCCAGAGAGTAGACGGAAGGGGAACAGCAGAGTTGGGAGTGAAAAATGATGAAAGAAAAAAAGATGAAACCGAAGTTGAAAAAAGGATGAAAAATAATCAAAGTCTCCATTCCTCACAGAATGGAGGAGCATGAGCGATTTTTTTTTAACACCCTCTGCCCGGGAAGACAGGAATGGGACGCTGAAAAAGCAGATCTGTTCAAGGCGGGGAGGTGGGATGGCAGCTACTACCTGATCACTATGACGACTGCGCTCACCCTCTGGCAATGAGCACGTGCTACCACTCAAACCTGTCTGCATCCCAGGGATGGAGGAGGGATTGGATAAGCAGGTTAGGGTTACTTTTCAAACTGCCAGTAGAAGGGACCAGGGGGGCACCTCTCTGAAGAGATAATAAACAACTTTGATTCAGTCTTTAAATATGGGCACCCCGCCACAGGGTCCACTAAAGCCACAGAGACAGGGTAAACATGGCAAGGGGACCTTGGGTAGTGAAGCTCAAGGCCAATTCCTGGAGCGAGGACTCCAAGGTGAGGGCTCTGAAACAGATGACACTGGAAATGAAAGAAGCTGTTTTAAAACACAAGGGTCCGCTTGGCAGAAAGTGATTGGGAACTAAGCAGAAAATATGTGGTAGCTTTGGGAAGAATCTTCCCCAGACCTATGTGAAATGGGAAGCAGACCCGAAGAGCTCACAAAAGCATTCAGCAGACACTCAAAATGCAAACTTGTGACTACAAGAGGTGTTTTTGGTACCGTAGTAGAAAAGAGGTTTTAATCCTGAGGCAAGCTTCTGAGAACTTAACCAAAAGCTCAGTATCTCTGATTTTCAACACCAGAGCTTTTAGTCAGGAATGAAAATTTTCTCCTTGCCGCTTAACATCTGAAACTCACATGGTACCTGCATGCTAAAGTGGCCATGTTTATACATTACTTTAAAAGTTCCCTTTCATGCGGTGGTCCCAGTCTGTTCAGAATGAGTGAGGACTCAGACTGACTGGGGCCAAATGCTGGCTCCAGAGCCTGACTCTACACACTTAGCTGTGTGACAGACACTAGGCAAGCCCTTAGTCTTCTCTGTGTATGTGTTTCTTAATCTGTAAAGTGGATACTAACAATACCTACCTCGTAGACAGTGTACTAAGCGTTAACTCTTGAAGAGTCTGGCTTGGTTGAGACCCCAAGTCCAGTCAAAGATAGGCACACGTCACAGGCACATTTCATGGGCCATTTGATGCCGTCATGTCTCACTTGATGCCCTTTCTCCCAGGCGAGGCCATTCAAAGGCTGGCAGACCAGGTTCAGCAATGCCTTTACCACTCTGTATGACAACACCTCGTCTGCTTGCCTCCCACCTCCACCTCACAGAATTACTCAAGGAAAGAAGGGACTGCATCCTCTGGCATGCAGCTCAGGACATGACACAAAAAAAGGCTCTGTGACTATTTTTGGTTGTTACTGTAGATGCCTAGTGGACACTTACATCCTCAAAGAAATGTTTCCCGTCCATCTGTTGTCTTAAAATACTTCCAACTGCTAAAATGCCTCTCCAGAGGTGCTTAGTATCCATCACAGAAGTTCTACCTCCCTGTTCAAGATTTTTGCCAGCCGGCGCTGCCACACCGGGTTCTAGTCCTGGTCGGGGCGCCGGATTCTGTCCCGGTTGCCCCTCTTCCAGGCCAGCTCTCTGCTGTGGCCAGGGAGTGCAGTGGAGGATGGCCCAAGTGCTTGGGCCCTGCACCCCATGGGAGACCAGGAGAAGTACCTGGCTCCTGCCTTCGGATCAGCGCGGTGCGCCGGCCGCAGCGCGGCGGCCATTGGAGGGTGAACCAACGGCAAAGGAAGACCTTTCTCTCTGTCTCTCTCTCACTGTCCACTCTGCCTGTCAAAAAATTAAAAAAAAAAAAAAAAAAAAAGATTTTTGCCATGTTCTCCTTGGCCTTCTGAAGCAGCAGGAGGTTTGTGCCTTCTATTTCCTGAGAATGGGTTCTGTGGGGTCCAAGATGTTTCAGAAGCTACTAAGGAATCTTTGAAAATCATCCCCAAAAGAACTCTCTCCTCTCAGTCCCACAGCCTTGTTAGGTGTGTGTCAGAGCCCCACACAGCTTTTCTTTGAAATCCCTTTTAGACAAAGGTATCTCCCCCAACATTCCCCTTAACTGGAGTTCCTAAATTCTTTGAAAACTGTAAAATTGTATGAGGAGTGGAGCTGGGATGGGAACACTATCCATAAAAAACAGCACACACAGCATTTGTAGCCAAGAAAAGGACAGAACCTCACAGAGGCTAATACCATCGCAAAACAGGTTGTAAGTGACTATGAATGAGACTCAGAGAAACTAACAGAAAAGGAGATTCCCACAGGAATACTTCCATATGTTTAAACTTTAGTTAGCACAGAGAATCTGTAAGGAGCAGAGGACTTGATGTGAACAGTGAGTAATGAATAGTGGAACCCGGCACCCTCAGGGATTATGAATTCCAAGATCACCAAGGACAGTCTGACTCAGAGGGGACGTCCTGAAATGCCCAGAGAGCAAAAACTATGACAATAGGTCTGCTTCTTTGTTTTTCTTAAATTATGCCACCACTGGGGACACTGGCATTGTAGGTCCTCTGAAGAGTATCAGTTACACTGCCCATTGGCTTATAGAACCATTTCCTTCCTCGTACACCGGCCAAAGGACAAATATGCAGAGTACTGAGAGCCTAACGTTGCTATTGCCTGCTGGGTATGGGTAAACAGGAGAATTTTATTTAGAATAACTCAGGTTTAAATTAACCACTACTGAATGATACAGATGTTCATGTCAGTCATTTTTGCTTTCTTCCCCCTTTTTTTGGTACAAAAAGTTGAATATCATTATTTTCTGTGACATGAGTACATTTTTGTTGTATCCAAAGCAAGTAAAACCAGGATTACAGAACAGGGCTCAACTGATATAGGACTGAGGGTTCACATATTCTGTTCCATGCAATAAAAAAAAGATACCTTACCTCATAAATTTAGAATTCCTCAGGCACAACCAGAACCATAATGGATTTAACCAAGCACAGCAAAAACGTTAGGCAATCTCTTCCAAGTGGTGAGAGGTCCTTGAGGTGAAGTCTAACTATTTTTAAGACTTTATTGCCCTGTTTTTAAAATCATGTGACTTCATGTTGAGACAGACAGAAAAACCAAGGTTAAGCCACAAATGGTCTTTTCCATTTAGCACTGTTGATCCCACTTTTAAAATTGGCCAGGGGTCTAGACAGCTGCCAGGCTGAACACTACCACACCAGAGGCCAAAAGACCAGAAGGAATGTTGTCAATCAGTTGTAGCAGGGCCTCCTGAAGTGCAGGCAAACTTCTTCAGAGATTCATTTACCAAATCTAATGCCAGAACAGCCTATGAGTTGAAGCCCTTGGGCATGTCTTTTTATCAGGCTGCTGAACAGACCACCTGGCAAGGAGGCAGAAGCAAAGCAGGTAAGAGGGATGTGTGTAATCTATTCCTGAACACAGACCCCATTTTTAATCTATAGGTTTCTTGAGTGTTGCCCAGGCAACAATGGACCCATCAATATTTGCCCAAGGTGCCACATGCCTATCACCTTGTCAGAATCATGTGACTAAATTATCTCAGTTATAAAATGAAGATCAAAGCCACTTTTACCTAGGGAGAAACACTTTGTACATGATTCCAAACTTCATTCATCCTGGACTTGCATGGAAAAGTCCATAAATTATAGTGCTTCATAACCACAGACTAGGATCTTACAGGCTAGCAAGGAGCTTTTTAGAAAATTACTTGCTTCTCAAGGTGCAGAGAAGGCTGTTCCCCGGGCCAATTAGTAGCAGACTGTCAACACCCACTTTGAAGCTGCCATTAGACAAAGGGCATGCTGTACCTCCAAGGAATGGTGGCGGGGGGCAGGGAGGGGATAAGGTATTATGTCTGGTTGAAGGACATGGAAGGGAAGATGTCACCCCATTTCCTCATCGATGGTGTGTAGCTGGGGAATTCTGAACACCTTCCAGAATCCGCTGAGTTTTCACTTTATGGTCCTAGAAGAAAAACTCTTTTCCAAAGGATAATGGACCCATCCCAAAAGGAAAAAAAACTTTTCCAAGGAAGTAAACTTTGGGCTTCAATGGCCACAAGATGGCAGCAGAGATAAAAGTATTAGAATGGACAGCAGTATGGGATAAGGAGATCCCAGGGCAAAAGCTATACAACAAGGAGTATAAAATTATTGCAGTTACAAGGCAATGAGATAATAAATAATGTCACCTGCCCACCACCCTCCAAAAACCAGAGTTAAAAGATGGGCTAAAGCTCTGAGACAGTGTATATGATTAGATTATTACACATAGGGAAAAATCACCCTGGTAGTATTGGTGTTATGACAACATGAAAACAAGGATGGGGAGCTAGCACTGTGGCATAACGGGTAAAGCTGCCACCAGCAGTTCCAGCATCCCATATGGGCACCGGTTCAAGTCCTGGCTGCTCCACTTCCGATCCAGCTCCCTGTTAATGTACCTGGGAAGGCAGCGGAGGATGGCCCAAATCCTTGGGCCCCTACACCCATGTGAGAGACCCGAAGAAGCTCCAGGCTCCTGGCTTTGGATAAGCTCAGCTCCAGCCACTGCAGTCATTTGGGGAGTGAACCAGTGGATGGAAGACCTCTCTTTCTCTGTAACTCTCTGCCTCTCTGTAACTTTGCCTTTCAAATAAATAAATAAATCTTAAAAAATAAAAAATAAAAAAAACAAGAAAACAAGATAGAACAACTATAGGCCAATTGTCTACACAGGACATTCTCCAAAGCAGTTTGGGATTGCTGATATCTAAGAGCCAATCAATCTTATTCTCATAATGCATAACTTTTTTCATTACTCATGAGATTTTGAAGGCAGGAATTTTAATTCAATGGCTTCATTTATAGAACACAACTCAGAATAATAATATAACTAATTATAAAATTAATCTAATACTATTTCTCTAGGACTTAAGGATTTAAAAATAATCTATGTTAATTACATAAATAGTAAGCTTAATCATAAGATTAATCATAGGATCTTAGGAGTCCAGGAAAGTTTCCGACTTCATGGGGACTTCCTATGTTGCTGAACTGTATGCTATAAAGAGCTAAGTTGGATATAGACTGTGGTGTTCTTCACAGACCCTCAATATTCTTTATGAAAACAGGCTCCTGGGCTCCAATGGAGCTGGTCAATGTGAGTTAGGATGCCCTAAGTCAACTCCTGACACTGGTGCCTGCTCCTTAAAGGAGTTGACTACTTTGGCTGGATGATCCCAGGTATGTTTTCCTCATGCCCTGACCATCACTTCTCAGAATACCTTAAGAGTTCTGGTGGCAGGTCCTGAAGTAGTAATTAAGTCTAACATTTGTTCAGATAAAAGCTCTGCCTTCATAATGGAAAACAGACTAGGAATGCCTAGTCAAAGACCCCTAGGGAGCAGACTATCCCCTGCTTGTAGTTCTTGCTATAGCCCAGTTGAGACACAACACTTACACAGTGTGCTGAATCCTTCCTGATTCTGGTAGATGAGAGGTCTGAGTCTCTGAGGTCTGGGGCTGTGTGGCAGCTGGTGGCTCTGCCTCTTCAGCTTCACACTTCTTTGGGCTCCCCTGTCAGGTGACAGCAAAAACAAACAGCAAACTACTTAAATCTGTTTGGTTCCTTTTCGTTAACCAAGAGCTGGAAAATGGCAGGGCAGCACATACTCAGTACCAGCTAGCAGCTCCACATGCAGCCCTCTGCATCTTCACAATTTCGTTTTAGAATATGGAATGGAATATGGTACCTGAAGAACCTCTGTGCCAACAGTCATTTTATTAGAATTACTTTTTGAGAGAACTGAGAAAAGGCTTCCTTTTGGGCAGACAAAAGGACTTCTTAGGGAGAAGTGACCCAGAGCACCCTGAAGATGAGGACCCTGTTGTTCAGCCTCATGTACAGCTTTCTTGAACCAGGGAGTAGGAAAGGAGGTAAGCAGGAATATTAGGTATTCCCAACTCTCTCCATTTCCACTAAAGCTTGTCGATACAACTCAGTTTTAAAGTTAAGACGAAAGAGAAAATCGTGCCTAATCCTTCATCTCCCTCAAGGGAAGGTCACAGTAGCCTACCCGCTCAGGCTGTAACCTCTGGGTCACATGCTTTTCCGCTGGCTCAGGCTGGCTCAGATGCCTCACATGGATAGAGGATGAGGAGGCGGAAGTCCTCTCCTTTGGCTCAAGGACCTGTAGTTGTGGCACTGGTGGAGTTGCAATCTCCTGACCAGAAGAGGGATCTTTGGTTTCCATGAAGCTGGTGCTGCTGTCCCTGGAGACTCCAGGGCTCAGTGACTGAAGAGATGAAACACACATAAAGGAAAATACATGGTATATATTCAGTAGACCACTGAATTTTCCAACTTCTGCTGACCCAAGAGAATACTTTGATCTTTCTGGCCCTGTGTTTTTTCCTGAGCTAGTAATCTCCCTTGCCTCACTATTATTCATTAGGTTCCATCTAGATGCTGGGTACCAGTATACACACACACACAAAAGCTTGTCCACACCCCGCAGAAGTTTACATTTAGTGGAGGAGATGAAGAAATGGACTCAACATTCTCTGGAATCAAAGGAACCCGCTCAGGAAGAAAAGGAACCCCATTTAGTAATCAATGAATTGAAAATTAGATTCTGAAGTTAGAGGAAAGTCAGGCTTTTCCTGTAACTGTCAGGAATCATGATAGACACTACAGGGGCTGAAAACACACTGGTGTACGGACAGAACATCAACCTGGGATTCTCTCACACTCACTTTTCTGCTGTTGCTTGATGCTGAACGGGACCGGGACCGGGACCGGGACCGGGACTCTGATGTTGATCTGGAGTCCATCTTGGGTCTACCACGAGGGTTGGTGTGAACATGTGCCTGGGATACATCTCTCTGCTTGGACCTCGGAGGTGAGTGAGATGGAGAGCCTGAACTGTCAGGAGAGCGAGATCTGGACCTAGAACTGGAGGATGAAGATGAGGACGAGCGGCTAGAGGATGAATCAGCTGACTGTTTCAATCTGTGCCCCAGCAGAAGAGGGTGAGAAGCCCTTCTGCCTTCCTTCTGTTCCAAGGACAGCTGCCTCACAGACTGCTCTGTGATTCCCTTGGCCGGTGTTAATTCCTGGATTTTTAGAGGGAGTGGCTGAGCAGATTTTTCTGAGTCAGTTTCAAGAGCCTTCTGGGTTGGGTACTGAGCCAGTGTGCTCCTCTGACCTAGAGGCAGGGCACTCTCCTCTGGCACTTTCTCTGTGGGAGATTCTGCTTTGGTGTCTGCAGGACTTGACAAAGGAGACAGGCTTCCCACCAACTGGACAGGATGCTGAGCTACTAACAGCTCCCTGTTCTCAGCATCTGTATTAGGAGGAGATAACTGAATGAGGACAGGGGGTGCTGGGCCTTCCATGGGCTCGATTTCTTCACTCTGGAGTTGTGCACGAGGTGGTGGAGAAGATGCTTCCTTGGTAAGTAAAGGTGGGGGAGTTTCCTCCTCACTGACTGTTAGCTCTGGCTGCAGCACAAGAGGGGCTTTCTCGAGATCTTCAGTCAGTCGAGGAGGGGAAGGCGATTTGGATTTTTCCTCCAAGTTTTGTGAAGATTTTATTTCTCTTTCTTCTTCCTCAAGGGGAGACGCTGTCTTCATCTCTCTTTCCTGCTGCTGTCTGGCTAGATGACTTTTTCTGGCTTCTTCCTGGGATCTTGTAACTCTTCCTCCTCTCTCTAAACCCTCCTGTTCCTGGGACCTTACAGTTTTGTGTCTTTCATCCATTACCTCTTCTGGTGTTGCTCTGGCCATCTCTTCCCCCTCTTCTTCCTCAAACTGTTTTAAGATTGGTACTTCCCTAGGTTTTTGTCCCTCATTATCATCATCTTCCTCTTCTTCATCTTCCTCCTCATCTTCCTCTTCTTCCTCTTCCTCCTCTGTTTTCAAATTTCGATCTGCTCTAACCCTCAGATTTCTAGAAGGTGTTTCTTGATCTTCCTCCTCAGCAGTGCACTCAGAGACTTTTGCAGCTCTTGCCTAAAAGAAAAGATACACAATGGTTCCAAACATGTTTGTTCACAATCAAAAGAGAAAAAGTATCTTATTAGACACCCCTAGGAAGAAGAAACAACCACACACATTTTCTGCAACACAGAAGACAAGTATGACTGGAGACAAGCATGAGTAATATGCTTAGGGCAACAACAACAAAAAAACCCAAGGGAAATTAAGAATGAAGTTGCTTCCAGTTAATTTCTTTCTTTTCTTTTTTTTTTTTTTCTTTTTTCTTTTTTTTGACAGGCAGAGTGGACAGTGAGAGAGAGAGAGACAGAGAGAAAGGTCTTCCTTTTGCCGTTGGTTCACCCTCCAATGGCCGCCACGGCTGGTGCGCTGCGGCTGGCACACCACGCTGATCTGATGGCAGGAGCCAGGTGCTTCTCCTGGTCTCCCATGGGGTGCAGGGCCTAAGCACTTGGGCCATCCTCCACTGTCTTCCCGGGCCACAGCAGAGAGCTGGCCTGGAAGAGGGGCAACCGGGACAGAATCTGGCGCCCCGACCGGGACTAGAACCTGGTGTGCTGGCGCCGCTAGGTGGAAGATTAGCCTATTGAGCCGTGGCGCCGGCCTCTTTCTTTTTTTTTTAAAGGTTTATTTATTTATTTGAAAGTCAGAGTTACACAGAGAGAGAAGTAGAGAGAGAGAGGTTTCCATCTGATGGTTCAATCCCCAATTGGCTGCAACGGCCGGAGCTGTGCTGATCTGAAGCCAGGAGCCAGGAACTTCTTCCAGGTCTCCCATGCGGGTGCAGGGGCCCAAGGACTTGGGCCATCTTCTACTGCTTTCCCAGGCCATAGCAGAGAGCTGGATCGGAAGTGGAACAGCCAGGACTAGAAGCGGTGCCCATATGGGATGCTGGTGCTTCAGGCCAGGGCATTAACCTGGTGCACCACAACGCTGGCCCCTCAGTTAATTTCTTAGATTCAAGTTTTTATAATATAAACAGAACATCTAGAAAGCAGGGTGAAGAACTAACCCAGTATCAGCTAGTAGGATTTTTTTTTTTTTTTACCATTTTGATGCTTTTTATTGTCTCATTTAACATCACATTGTACAGCTTTAATCAAATAATTACCTAACATCATACCTAATAATGTGCTTTAAGAACATAGAGATCAGCCTGCTAACTTTCATATTTAAGTGGTTTTTTTAAAGAAATACATATTCACAGGCCGGCACCTGCACTGCTAGCATCCATATGGGTACCAGTTTCAATCCTGGCTGCTCCATTTCCAATCCAGCTCACTGCTAATTGCCTGGCCCAAGTCTTTGCAGTCCTGTACCCACTTGGGAGACCTGGATGAAGCTCCTGATCCCTGGCTTTGGCCTGGCCCAGCCCTGGCCATTGTGGCCATTTGGAGAGTGAACCAGTGGATGGAAAAGCTCTCTATCTCTCCCTCTCTCTAACCCTGCCTTTCAAATAAATAAATGTTAAAAAATACATATTAGTTTAGAAATCTGACAGCTAGCAAAGAAAGTTAGACTCCATTTCTAGAAGTCTGAGGAAGAAAGGGAGGAGGAAACAGCTCAGGCATCCTTCAAATCAACGAAGGAAGCTTCTGGACAATTACCTGTCTCACCCTGGATGACCGTCTTTCTCCTTTCCTTGGTTTCTCATCATCAGATTCACCTTTCTCTTCAGAAACAGAGGAGCCTTTTCCTAGTAAGTGAAAGGAAATCAAGTCAGACTCATGACAGAAGTATTCATCCACAGTTTTCTAAAATGGTATTTCCTAAAATCCAAGCAATCATTGCATGAGCTGGTCAGTACATATCTTTGTTAATTTCTTTGACGTCTATACTCAAGAAAAGACTACATGTAATGCTCTCACGGTCAGGGTCTAGTGGTAATTCCTGTTGTGCATGTCTGGAATGTTTTCAATACCTGTCAATTCACATAAACTCAAATAAAAGTAAAATAACTTCTAAGGACTTCAAATTTCCAGTAGAGATGTGTAAATACAAGTAGACTTAAAAAGATTTATTTTTGTTTTATTGAAAGTCAGAGTTAAGAGAGAGAAAGAGATGGTTCGTCCATCTGCTGGTTTACTCTCCAAATGGCAGCAACAGCTAAAGCTGCGCCAGGCTGAAGCCAGGAGCCCAGAGCTTCTTCTGGGTCCTCCACATGAAGGACTTGGGTCATCTTCCACTGTTTTCCAGGCACATTAGGAGGGAGCTGGATTGGAAGTGGAGCTGCTAGGTCTGGAACCCAGCATCTGTGGGATGGAGGTGGCAGCTTAACCTGTTATGCCACAATGCCCTGCCCCAAGTACATATATGAACTTCTCCAAAGTCTTAATCTGAAGTCTTAAACTCAAGATCTCACTATGTTCTATGTCTTTTTTTTGGAAAGATTTTATTTATTTACTTGAGAGGTAGAGTTACAGACAGTGAGAGGGAGAGACAGAGAGAAAGATCTTCCTTCCATTGCTTCACTCCCCAAATGGCCACAACAGCTGGAGCTGCACCGATCCAAAGCCAGGAGGAGCCACGTACTTCCTCCTGGTCTCCCACACAGGTGCAGGGCCCAAGCACTTGGGCCATCCTCCACTGCCTTCCCAGGCCACAGCAGAGAACTGGACTGGAAGAGGGGCAACCAGGACTACAACTGGTGCCCATAAAGAATGCTGGTGCTGGAGGCAGAGGATCAACCTACTGTGCCACAGTGCCAGCCCCCTATGTCCTTTTTTAACACTGCCTATTGCTACTATTTGTTTTGACCAACACTTTGTAACTAAATATAAGATTCTATTTGTACACTGACAAAATCAAGAAATAAGTACTTAGATGATTGGTTTTCAAGTTCCCAGAAATCACTTCAAGCCACTTGGACAGGGCTTCAGAACTGCATCCTGTCAATTAGTTTTTTTTTTTTTTTTTTTGGACAGGCAGAGTGGACAGTGAGAGAGAGAGAGACAGAGAGAAAGGTCTTCCTTTGCCGTTGGTTCACCCTCCAGTGGCCGCCACGGCTGGCATGCTGCGGCCAGTGCACCGCGCTGATCCGAAGCCAGGAGCCAGGTGCTTTCCTGGTCTCCCATGGGGTGCAGGGCCCAAGCACTTGGGCCATCCTCCACTGCACTCCTGGGCCACAGCAGAGAGCTGGCCTGGAAGAGGGGCAACCGGGACAGAATCCAGCACCCTGACCAGGACTAGAACCCGGTGTGCCGGCGCCGCAAGGTGGAGGATTAGCCTATTGAGCCACGGCACCGGCCAATTAGTTCTTATACATTAGAGCTCAAGGTGAGAGATTTTTTTTTTTTAAGGAAAAAAAAAAAAGTTAAAATAACCTGAAATCCAATCATCTCAAATAACAATTCCATGTAAAACTGGAAAAAATTTTCATTCATATTCCACAAATGTAGGTAACTATGGGTAAATCACTGAAGTAATATGGGTCGCAATATCTTGACTGAGAAAAAGGGATGGAACTAGATGACTTCTAAGTTTCCTACTAGCATTAAAGTATTACATTGGAGCAGGCATTGTAGCAGAGCAGGTTAAGCCACCATTGGGGATGCCTGTTTCCCATATAGAAGAGCCTAGGATCAAGTCCTGTCTCCCCTTGGGATCCAGCTTCCTGTTAATGTGCCTGGGAGGCAGTAGCTGATGGCCCAAGTACTTGAGTTCCTGAAACCCACATAGGAGACTCAGAGTTCCTGGCTCTGGGAGTTGGCCAGGACCAGCTCCGGCTAATATGGGCGTCTGAGAAATGAACCAGTAAATGGAAAATCCCTCTCCTTCCCTCCCTCTCTCCCTCCATCACTCTGCCTTTCAAATAAAGAACTAAATTTAAAAAATGCTGAAGCTCAAAATTAAAAATGTAGGAGCCAGTTAAGCCACCACTTGGGATGCCTCATCCCATATCATATCATGGTGGTCTGGGATCGAGTCCCAGGTATTCCAAACTTCCTATCCCAGCTTCATGCTAATGTGCCTGGGAGGCAGCACATGATGGCCTCATTTTTTTTTTTTTTTTAAATTTTATTTACTTGAAAGACAGAGTTACAGAGAGGTAGAGATACAGAGATAGAGAGAGAGAGAGACAGAGACAGAGACAGAGAGAGAGAGGTCTTCATCTGCTGGTTCACTTCCCAGATAGCTGCAATGGCCAGAGCTGCGCTGATCTGAAGCCAGGAGCCAGGAGCTTCTTCCGAGTCTCCCATGATGGTGCAGGGGCCCAAGGACTTGGGCCATCTTCTACTGCTTTCCCAGGCCATAGCAGAGAGCTGGATTGGAAGGAGAGCAGCCAGGACTCGAACCATATGGGATGATGGCACTGCAGACCGGGGCTTTAACTCACTGCGCCATAGGTCCGGCTCCCAATGGCCCCATTCTTATGTTCCTACCACCCACATGGGAGACCAAGATGGATCCTGGGTCCTGGCTTCAGCCTAGTCTAGTCTTGGCTGTTACAAGCATGTGGGGAGCGAAGCAGTGGATGGAAAATCCTTTTGGTCTTTCTTGCTCTGTTTCTCCTGCTGTCACTCTGCCTTTCAAATACATAACAATTTTTTTAAAAAGAGCATAGATTATTATATTCCAGATACTCAGTCAGCTAGATTGAGCTCAATTTTAGTACAGTACAAAAAATTTAAATGATCCACAAAATCAAATAGAACATTAATAGTATTTAAGCTGGTGTAAAGCAGATGATCAACTCTAACTCAAGATCTTCTCTCTTCTTACTTCTATATCTCAACAAGCTAAAGTGAACTAAGTTTTGCTTCTGTAATTTAAATCCCCCCCCCAAAAAAAACCCCAACATGAAACTGGTAAATGAACTAGAAAATGACATGCATTTTGAAAAATTTTATAATCACTTGATTTACAGGTCCTCTGAATGAATATTAATATTAGTTGAGTGAATAAAGACTTGTATTAGGGCTTATATACCGGATCTGTGTATTGGGCTGGAATCCTTAACAGACATCTGAAGATAACAGATATTAGTGCAGTGGATATAATAATTTCATAATTTTTAGCACCTGGAATAGGTAAAACTATAAAATCAGTAAAACCGAAAGATTTGTTATATGAATTTTTAGGCAAAGTTCCTAGCAAGTAATAAGGAAAAGAAGCTGCTTTATCTCAGTTTAAATGAAAAGGAAAAAAGAAGAATGTATAAGGTTGGCTAGGGATAAATGTGCTAAGTAAGGTCAGATGTGTTGTAATTTCAAAATGAGGGGGCAGGCATTTGACACAGTGGTGAAGATTCCACTTGAGATGCCCACATCCCATATCAGAGTGCCTGACTCAACTGTTTGGCTCTGCTTCTAATTTCAGCTTCCTGCTAATATGCCACTCATGTAGGAGACCTGGATTGAGTTCTGGGCTGTTGGCTTTGGTGTGGCCCAGACCTGGTTGTTGTGGCCATTTGGGAGAGTAAACTGGGTTCAAGTCCCGGCGGGTAGAAGATATCTCTTTCTCTGTTTCTCCCTTTTTCTCTTCACTCTGCCTTTCAAATAAATAAACAAACCTTTAGAAAACAAAAATAATGGGAAACAATGCCTAGAAACTGAGCATTTTGGTTAAAGGTGGAGCCAATACTGATAATGGGCTAACAAATGTATTTAGTCAAGAAACAAGTCAGAGTGAGTTTAAGATTCCCAAGATCCCAAAGTCCAAGACCTTCAGGAGAAAGAACAGGTGCTGCCAGTCCGTACAGGATGAATTACAGTAAAAGAATGTGTAGTGGCCAATAAGGAAAGTAGCCTCTTTATTCCACATAAATCCCTGAGCAAGATTTGTAGTACCCAAATGGGGCAGCTAAAGATCATAGTAAAGCCTGTGGCCAGAGGGTATCCTTAGGTAATAAATAGCAGGAATTAAGAGAACAAAGACCTACGGCCGGCACCGCGGCTCACTAGGCTAATCCTCCGCCTAGCGGCGCCGGCACACCGGGTTCTAGTCCCTGTCGGGGCGCTGGATTCTGTCCCGGTTGCCCCTCTTCCAGGCCAGCTCTCTGCTATGGCCCAGGAGTGCAGTGGAGGATGGCCCAGGTGCTTGGGCCCTGCACCCCATGGGAGACCAGGAAAAGCACCTGGCTCCTGGCTCCTGGCTTCGGATCAGCGCGGTGCGCCGGCCGCGGCGGCCATTGGAGGGTGAACCAACGGCAAAGGAAGACCTTTCTCTCTGTCTCTCTCTCTCACTGTCCACTCTGCCTGTCAAAAAAAAAAAAAAAAAAAAAAAAAAGAGAACAAAGACCTGGCAGTGAAGCCAAACCTAAATCTGACTCAGGTTAGCCCTACTAGAAGTATTCAACATTTCTCTAAAATCTCACATCCAGATTTAATATGAGTAAAGGAATGAGGGTTACATGCTCTGTAAGCCAAGGGCTGGCTAAGATCATCTGTGGCTATGTTTTTGTTATAGAATCAATATTTTGAATATCCATTATTAAACTATTTTTATATTTTCCTAGAATGAGCTCTTTTTCAAAAAGTTAACTTAGGGAGATAAGGATTTTTATACACAGTTAAGATTATAGAAGGGACTCTAAGAAAACTTCTGACAATGAGGGATGGACTGATTCCCAACATCTTAGAAGAAAAATTTGAAGAAAGTAGTAGGGAGATAAGCTGGGAGGCAGGGGCAGGTGTTTGGCACAGTGGTTTAAGACAGTACCTGGGATATCTGCATCCCAGATCAGACTGCCTGGGT